TGCGAAGGCGGGAAATTGGCTTTAAGATGAGCAGTGGAAAAGCGTTCGCTAAAAGGGGAGGGGTAGGGAGGGGATATAACCAATGCCGTTGCCATAAGAGAGTGGAAAGCCGGGAAAGCTGGGCAGGCTAATCAGCTGTGCGCACGCTAAGTAAGTTTATTAGACTATTATTTTGAATTGGGTTTCTTCTGCTGGCATTCTTTCTTCTTCTCCTTTTTTTCTATTTTGGCCATTGTCTGTTTGCTGGTCCACTGCATTTGGCCGAAAGCTGAGCTTCTTCCTAAGGCCACCATTGTTTGGCTGCTGCATTGAACGGGAGAAGAGCACTCGAAAAATGAAAGAGTTAGATGTTATTGGAAAGCAAAATGGTTAAATGATAACCATAAGTTGGTTTTTAAATTAAAAGAAATTTTATTTTAATGTTTTTTATGGGGAAAATTCCTTTAAATAGCTAAGAAAAATAAGCTAAAAATCTAAAAAATTACTAAAAATATTTTTTCGTAGTGTACAAATTGTAAAACCCCAAGCTTAGAATCTTCATTTTCAACTTTGCCAGTGTTGACTAACAAATCAAAGAAACGCTGCCCGAGCCCGAATCCATAAAATATTCGCATATGGCGGAAATGCCGGGGCAATGCTGAAAAATTTATCACATTTGTGACCTCTTTGTGGGACAATCGGCAAGAATTGCCAGGCCAGAAATGCCCACGTATCTAGGCGCCAGCATTTTCCAAGAAGACCATTGAACTTAAGCCATAAAAAATGCCCCCCAAAAAAATGCTTAACGATCTCGCCAAAAAAAACGTGAACATATGTTGGCTGAGAATGATTTTTGGGGATTTCATCGAGAAAATCATTAAAAATATGTTTACTTTTCTTGCTCATCTACTAAAGAACTAAACTTTTACTACTTCCTTGATATTTCTTTTATAAAGAATTGCAATTTCAATACAGCAACCCCATCATCAGCCATCACTATGACAAAAGAGCTGCCAGGACATTCTGTTAAACCCTTTGAATGCTTTTGTCAACCGAGGCCTTTAAAGGAAATAAGCACGAACACTTTCGCCCATATAGACAGCCACTTGTCAGTTCTAATTGACAATAGAAACTGAAACAGGTTGTGTGTGTGTGTGTGTGTGTCAGAGGGGAGAGGGAAGTTGGGTAACTAGGGAAAGTGACCGAGTGGGTGGGGACTTTACACAAATCTACGCCCCGGGCACTAGGACAAGTCGACCCTTGTTGAAACTCAATCAAACGCCCACGTATTCGGTGAAAAGTTCAAACAATGAAGTTCCTGCCACTTTTGAGAACCGAAAGTGCTGCTGATTCTGATACCAAAGGCAATATACTGATGCTGATGACGATGCGAATGGTGAATGGTGAAACTGCTGCCTGGCCCCAGTTAAATAGACAATTTTCCACACAAATCCATTTAATCTAGAGATAAATAACATTTAGGGCTGGGCTCAGCAGCCAGCCCTCGCTAAAAGTGAGAGCTATACTTGCACTTGGAAAAATAAATACTAGAAAATATATTATGAAAGGAGAAAAACTGGAAAAAGAAGGAAAAATCAAGGAGATATCTTTTTACTTTTCGGGTTTGATGCATTCATTTTAGCTTCTCTTAAAGCCTCTCCTTGCCAGAATCATTTATGAGCCCAAATAGAAAGCCAACTTATTTTTATAGTGCAACCGAAAAGCCCGAAAAGGTACTTTTGTGGGGCACTTAACGCACCCGGAAAATTCTTACGCAGCAACCTAAATGATTCCCCGTGCAGATCCTGCGGTCCGCCCACAAAATGGTTGCCCAGGACCTTCGGCTCCGTTGCGTTTCCGTTTCCCATTTCTTCCGTATCCGCTCGCATCGATTTGTGTGAGGCGGCAATAAAATCCACTGTGATTAGGTTAAAACTGTTGACTTTCAAACAGTGCCAGGGCTCTCTCATGCTCGTGTGCTGCTGATGTTTTGCCTTTCCATTGAGGGCGAATCAAAGTGGTTAACCCCCTTCGACAGCCCCCCTCTCTCTGAATGACTGGGTAAATCGAAAGAGATAAAAATACCCTCAAATAGCATTCGGCACCAGAATCGACTGAAATGTGATTGTGTCGCTGTCCGTACCCACCACCCTTTGTGACACCCATTTATTTAATGGTTTTAACTTCCAATTTTCCAATTGTCAGACGTGCAGCCTGGTGGCCATTAACCAGGAACAAAAATCCAACAAAAAAATGAGAACAAAATAGAACCACAATGGAAAGTTCTTTCGCTTAGAGAGTGGAAAGTTCGATTGGGGGAAAAATAGAGAAGTTTGGGTACTCTTTTGGTGGGATAAGGAAATATTGGGAATCATTAAAGATCATTTTTGATTTTTTTTCATCTTTTTTAAGTATTTTTTCAGGTAGTTAACAGCGCACGCAGCAAATTTCTTTAATAAAAAAAACTATAAATAATATCTCAACCTGTCTGACATCTCAACATTGTATTCAAATTAATATTTATGTCATCCTCAGTCTGACAGCTTCGCATTTAAAATTCATTAAGTTAGCAAAGGCAATCATCAGATCAATACCAATTTATATTGGTTAAACCCCAAAATGTATGCAACACAATTTCTAACGCCTCTTCTGCCTGACTTAACTATTCAAATACGATTTAACCCATAGACTAACGAACACAACATTAATTATCCATAAATTAAACTGTCGACTTTTGATTTCAATTCAGGATGTCAGTCAATCAATACATAAAACCAGTCAACAGAACTTTGCCCCAAAATCGAATGATCAAAAATGGTTATACAAGGAAAATTAGCAAACCAAAGTTGGCCAAAATGTTCGTTATACCTTTGGATGTGAGTGCATAATGTGCTGATGCTGCTGCATTTGATTTGTGCCATGTGAAAGTGGAGCGAAAAACCGAAATGGAAAAATGCCCTTAAGAGCTAATGAGTTTCAAATAAATATAATAAATGTGTGCACGTGTAAGCTTATGTGTGTGTGTGTGGGTGAGGATATAAAATGCAAAATCAGTAGGACAAATTCCTAAACCAGGAAAAACGAGAGACGGAACAAAAAAAAAACAAATGAACAAAATGGCACACTAAAGTTTACAAATGCAAATAAGATACTAAGCAAAGTCAGCAGCAGCAACAAATATGTCATACGGCGGCAGCAAGAGAGAGGCAGCCGACAAGCGACAGACAGAGATGGAAATGGTATCCATTACCATTTCCATCTCTGTCTGTCGCTTGTCGGCAGATGCAAATGAGAGAAAGAGACGGGCGGACAGCGAGCAAAAGAGATAGGACGACGGGCTGACAAGCGAAAACATTTATGAGCGCTTCGTCCGTCTGTTGTTGACTTTTACAAAGGAATTGTAGAATATTTTTTAGCTATATGTGAGTATGCAAAATATTCCATGGCTTTCTTTTGCACTTAAACGAATTTTTTTTAATATTTTTTTAAGAGATTTTTAATATAAATATTAATGTATTAAATATTTAAGTATTTTTAACCAAAAAAATTAGTAAGAAAAACTCACAAAATGCGCCCAAATTTCATTCTTTCTTAACTGAACCTTCAAGGACACATTTTCTTTCTGTGTATGTGTTTGGCGCACGCATACACATGTAGCTACAAGCTGTAGCTCAAACACAGGAAATGTAATTTGCATAAGAATAACACACACACACACACAGAGACACGGGCAAAGGGAAATTGGGAGAAAACAGGAGGCAAAATCGAGGCGAAAACCATGTGGATGTGGCTGCCAAGATATAGCTGGGGCATATGGCACACATATTGAAGTGTAGTCTATGTATGGTAGAAGGGATGATGCGATACAGAGGAGACCGAGAGCGAGAGAGGTTCGGTCTGAAGTGTCCTTTAACGAGATTTGCATCTCATCATAATAATGTAAATGACGAAGAGGGCCAACAAAAGGGGTAATGCAAAGGGTAAGCAACATTTTCCGACTGGCCCCATCTACAAGTTTTTGGCCAAAAGGGTTTTCTATTAAAGGGCGGGATTACATGCATTACACATCGCAATGAGTCCCATTCACTTTGGCTCAACAACAGCGCCGAAGCGATTCAATTAGGCTAAACACTTTCTGGCTCAAATGAGGATTTGGCCAGCAGCAACAGTTTGAAGTTGCACAGTTGAAGTTGGTAAGATTTTGGTTTAAGTTTATTGTATTTAATACATCTGCCATAGGCACCATTAAAATGATTTCGGGAATCCGGACAAGTTGTCTACTTATTTTGGTCGTAGACTTGTAGTCTAGTCTGAATATAAACTACTTAGTAGTTAGGTACTCTGGTAAATGTAGGTTGAATAGCAAAGTTGATTTAATTTATTATAAATTATCTTATTTGTTTCGTTGTAATAAAGTAAGAGAACTCATTCAAGGGGAAAACCTGCCCTATCTCAATTTAAAAAACTTAAAAATAACTAAAAACTTGTAAAAGTAACTTGTAAAGAGACAAACCTCATCAGTAATGCGTCAGAAAAATTTATAAAAATTAAAAATAAACTCTTAATGATATGCTTTAACATAAATAGAAATAACTTTCTAGCTTGCTTTCTTTTGATTAACACAGAAACTAATTTTTTATTGTGTGCCAAAGTCTAGCTTTCAAAAACAGACGTCTTGAGGTCCCTCTGCAGTTGACTCTCAAGTTGAGTAATCTAAAAGCTTTTGGAAAATATCTGAAATTGATGAACATAACAAGCTCTTAACTAATACGAGTATTTAAACAAATTGAAAAGACACTCAATAGTTAAATACTAAAGAAATTTAGCTGCAAAACAAAATTACAAAATAACTTTAAGTTGTGTAATATTCATTATTTATAAACTTGTAAATATTAAAAAAAAAACTTTTTATTAGTTAGCTTACCCATTTGCATGGAAATGAGAAATATAAAACTTTAATGCAAATTTGCTATTAACATATTAAAGAAGCTACGCGACTGTAGAAATCTTTCAGTTCAGTTCCTCAGAAGATTTATGGAAGTAAACAACGCTATGAGAGTCTTCTTTCTTACTGCTTTGATAGGTAATCATAGATATATATAATTATATAAAAATAAATATAACTTAAATTTTTAACTTCAACAGCTATTTTAGCCTTTGATACCTGCAATGCAATGAGATGCTTCTTAACCTGCTTTAACAAAAATGGCGACTTTACTAACTTTGAGGTGACCTAAGAAAATTGTGATCTACAAGAAACCTTCTCAATAAAGACATCCAAATACATTTTTTAATGCCGAAATCAAAATTAATATGACTTAAAAGACTTAGTATTGTATTTTATGGAACTAATTTAAGGATTTAAAGACCAAAACGATTTTATCTAAAACAAAGAAACCAACTTACAGTAAGAACATAAAATCTAAAATCGCAGCTTTTTGTTTCTCCTTAATCTAAATTTTTCCAATCTTTCTTTTTTCCTTCTCCCAATAAAATCCATTAAGTACCTTCAACTCGTTACAATACTAAGTTGGCTGTCTAGTTGGTTTTCGATGATGCTTCACCTTATTGATGACTATCAGTCGAGAAGAGTTGGCCATCAAGAAAAGCCCCAACCAAGGAGAAACAAGCTTCCTCGAACAAGCTTTCAGCATTCCCTTTTCGCTTTGGTTTTGATATCATTTATTCACTTTCGATAGCTGGCAAGTTTAAGGTTAATCCCGCATTTGCTTCGTGGGATTCGATTTTAAAGTATCACCTTATTGATGATTCTATTGATGGAAGGGAGAGCTGGTAGAGCTGGTAGATATAGTTTTCCAAGGGGAATGTGTGTGGCGAAAAAACCCTTTAGCTCGGTCCGTCACCTACGGCATGGCAATTTATTTCGCAACACTACCGCTGGTAGTGGCGATGCCATGGCAAAGTTTTGTTTCGAGGTTTATGGGCAATGGCTTCCAGCAGCACGAGCTGCTGCTGCTACTCCTCCGACCACGTCCAATATCCAACCATGCACGCAAAAGTTTGCCAAAAACTTCTCTCGAGTCTAACAAATTCAATTTGTCAGGCTTGGCGCGCCTCGGAGTGCGGCTAATCCATTTACAATTTCAAAGTAAACAAACAAAATGTATCTATCCTTAGAGTTCGTGCAGCTCGACATCGCCATCACAGCATCAGCTAGACGAGACATTTAGCCCTGGTTTTGGAATTTTCGTTCAGATTTCCAATGAAAGTGCAGCACAAAACTTTACTTGCCAGCAGCTTTACTGAAGAGTTTTCCTTTGCCTACTTTTTACTACCACACACTCGAAACGAAAACACAGAAAATGTTCTGGTAAGAAAAACTAAACTAAAACTAACTAGAAAATCAACAAAGAGTATTGCCCAATTATTTTAGCAAACATGCTAAATTTTACGCAAATTCTGATGTTCTATTTTCAAGTTTTCACAGCTCACAAAACTTATTTTCGTTTAAATAATTGGATTTTCAACCTGCCTCGTATACTTGAAAGAAAATTGTGATTGTTTTAGTTAGAAAATTCCTTAAAGTTGTTGTAATATCTTTCACCATAGTGAATTTTTCAAGCAAATGCGAAACTTTAAGGCGAAATTTCCTCCTTTTTCCCTCTTTCTGAAATGATAATTTTCAACAATTAATTCCACAAAATTTCTTTAAGTGCAGTTTAAAACTAACAACACGGCACTTGAGCAAAATAAAAACTCTCATTCTTCTTCCACTTTTCGCCTTTGCCCAAATAGACAGCTGGCTGTTGGGGGAGGTCGGCCCCGAAGTTTATGCGCCTTTAAAACTGCAGTTGATATTCTTTTATATTCTTTTACTTATTTTGCTTGCGCCCCTGAATGGCCCCAAACAAAAGGGAAAACTATGTGGCAAACTAAAGCCGTGCGTTCTCACTGCAAACTTACTTATTCAATGGGCGTGGCAGACCCAAAATTTTAGTTGGAATTGGTTTTTTAAGGCTTAAGTTCTTAAGTTCTTAAGTCTTCAAAATCAAATTTAAGCCTTGATTTATGAGTTGTGAAGAGGGTATTTATGTATCCTGAATGTTGAATAAATATTTTTAGTTTTAACTAATAGTTAAGATGCTTAAATCGTTCCCATCACGCACTTGTGACTTGTGAAATTGCTCATACGCCCTGTGGGCACGCCTCGAATTGTGTGCCAAAATTTATTTGAATTTAATCAACTGCTTACAATTTAATTGCTTTTTCTAAGATCATAAATAAGTGACTTTAAATTATAGAAAACATTCAAGAGAGAAGAAATTTGTTAACTAAATATTGCGCATACGCCCTGTGGCTTCATTTCGATTTGAAATCTTAAAAGATTTCAATTTAGTTGTTTCTGCTTTAAGATGAAATACTCTTAATTAAGACTTAAATTGCTTCAAGCTCAAGAGCTACAAATCGGTCAATTAAATAACGCGCATACGCCCCGTGAGCACGATTTCCTCTTAACCTGAATTTAATTAAAAAATGGCCAAGCATTTAATGATTTCCGTATTGCCACTTGTGGTATTTATTTAAATAACAGCCCTCAATCGCTTATACACGACGTATTAAGTGGGCAAAAGTCTCCTTTGCAAATTGGTCAACTATATAGCACGCATACGCCCCGTGGCCCGTTAATTTAACTGAAAATTTAATTCGACGAATTTTGCATCCTGGCAAGGAACCTATATATAGCCATATATATATATATACACAGCAGAGATCCTTTATGTATATATCTGCCTATGTTTTTATGTGTATTTTCGTATAATGCCAGCGGCGGCAATTTCTTGTACAACAATTTGTGAGTCTGCTGCGCTCAGCACTCACGTAATGAGCATAAACTACAGGCACAAAAAGGCCAGCACCAGCACCAGCACCGACACCCACACACAAACACTGGCCCACTAATGCTGAGATGGCTAAGAGAATATCGCGCTGCCGTGCACATAATTGGTGCAAAAAGTTTGAAAATTATCACGGAAGCAAAGCCGAAACACGTACATACATCACCGTCAGCGGACGCGAGATGGCATAATGTGAGAGGGCACTTCCTCTGATCCTGCACTGCTCTAAAATTCTGATTCGAAGCTTAATGAGTTGAGATATGGCTTTAAAATTGTGATTGAGTTTCTCTGGAAAACCTTTTCTTTAGAGTTAAAAAGCTTTTCTCAGTCCATTTTATTTGTATCAAAAACTGATTATTAGTTTAATATATAGCTTATACATTTCTTTCAGTGTTCTATCTCCCCAATCCCACGCCTTTCCATGCCATTTTAAGGCGGAACACCTTGTGACCCGGGCTGAGCCTTAAATAAGCACCGCCCGGAGCTGGGTTCACTTAGCCTTTGGGCGGCCAACGGCCAAAAATTTATTGAAGCGAAGGCGGCTGAACTAATCCCAGACCCTAATTACTCATAGAGCCCGTAGGTTACAGACCATGTCCAACAATTACACCCGTGGCCCGTGTTAAGTCCTGTCCCCCTGCAAAAAAAAAACAAAAAAAAACACCCGAAAAACGGAAAGGCGGAAAATGTTTCACTTTATGTTAAGCTGAAGAGTTTCCGCTCTTGGTTTTTTGGGCAAGCAATTAGCTCTGGGAGAGTGATTAAAAAGTGGAAAGGCTAAAGTCAAGATGATAACATGACGATTACAATCTGCCGAAATGTTACTTAAAAGAGTTTTTTATTTATTTTATTTTATGTAATAAATTAGTCCCAATATTAAATTAAGTATCATAGCTGCAAAGAGCAGACTAGAAGAGAGGGAAAAACTAATAAATTTCCCTGGGCAGAAAGTTCATTTTGCATTCCCCCAACAGACATGTTGATTCGCATTTAATTTAGTGTAAAAAGCAACTTCTTTTTCATTATATTTTATGTTTACCAACTAATAAAACCCAAAACGTTTCACTTTACGCCAAAAACTGGGAAAGACTTTGAGCCCCATGGGCGACTAAGAATTACACTGGCCTGCAAGAGTGCCATTAAGTGTGCATAGGGCGTGTGAGTGTGTGTGTGTGTGTGTGTGTACTGGCCATTAAAAAGTTTTCTTTCTACTGGACCCCCTTTTTTCCTGATGCTCCCCAGGAGTCGGTAACTATTACTGGGTGGATACTGCTCCTGATTCCGATTCAAATCCGGGTGGTGCTGCCATTGGCACCTGTGTGTTGCCAGTTGCAAGTTGCCAGTTGCCAGTTGCCAGTTGCAAGTTGCCGGTGCAACTGAAAATACGTTTGCATATGAATTTTTCAAAATGTTTTTTACGCTGACCTCGTTTACGGGTCAGAGCGGCTATGAAAAGTTTGCCCTGCAAACTAAATTGCCGTTTGCAACTGGAGGAAGGAAGACACGGTAACCGGCTTTGAGTGTTTTCTTCTTTTTTTTTTACCATCCTTTCTTTCTTTCTATTTTTTATTCACCTTTTTTTTTTTGGTGCAACATTTTTTATTCCTTTTTTTTGGGGAGGAGGCAGGCCGTAGTCCGCTCAACTCACTTTTATTTCTGTTTTTTTCTCGTTTGGTTTACAGTGGCGGTGCAGCATATTGAAATGCGATTACAGGGCTGCCCTGGTGGCTCGTGGATTCATGTTCATTAAACATGCATAAACTCACACTGGCAAAACACCCACTTACACAAACACAGAGGGCGAGAGAGAAAGGGAGATGGCAATGAATGAGAGATAGAGATGGCAGAAAGCAGTACACTGGCCAACATGGTTTTTATTTTTAGATTATTTAGCAAGTATTTGAGATAGAAATTTATTAACCTTAAAGTTTCTTAAAATTGATTTCTAACATTTCCTTTTTTTGATTTTTGATTTATCCTTCGTCCAACTTATTTATTCCAGTGTAGTCCTCGCTGAGCTCGCAGGAGCTGTAACATTTCGGGACCATCTGTCCCTAGGCACATGTAAACAGTTTAAATTTTCAAAGCAATGTGCTAATTTTAAATCAATTACATGACGTGACGACGACACTTCATTCACTCCCTCCCCCTCTCGAAAAACAAAAACAAGACCTTAGAATCCTCCCCTCTGCTAAAAATTACAAATTCTTTGGCATTGAATTTTCCTCTGGCATGAGAACAATAGGCAAGCGAATAGTAAATGGCAATTGGAAATGCGTACAAGTCAGTAATGTTTGGCAACAGTTGGCGTGAAAAGTTTGTGCCTGTCGAGAGTGAATTTACTTATGGCAGAAAGTTGCAGCCAATACCAATACCAATACGAATGGGAAAACATCAGGGCCCCAAGGCGACGGCCTCTATTCATTTGTACTCTGTAAAGAAGATACAAAAACAAGAAAGAAGCTTAAATTAGAGTTTCCCGACTATGAAATACCTTTTACTAGCTGTCCTTTCTTAACTATCTTGCATACTTTTCAGCAAACACAATACACCCAATAATGTGCCCAAGTGATGGGTATAAATACATAGGCTTTGGGGGGAAAACTTTTCTTAGTGCTACATTTGGCGACACAGAAAACTGCCAAATTGAAGGCATCTGCCTGTGGTTGTGGGTGGGCTTGGGGCTTGGTGGTTTTTAGATGCTTTTCGGGTGCTCTTTGGGCGGTGGTTGCCCTTGGAGATGAGGTAGACTTAGCTCCATGTCTTCTTGCCTGCTCGATTTCAGGCTTTTGAAGCCTCCACACAAACAGAGGCAAAAAGGAAAACTGAAACGGCTAGAAGGAAAGCAACAGTTCTTTTTCTCCCCCACTGCACTGAGAAAATTCTGAGTAGTGTGGGAAAGAGTGGGTGAAATAGAAAGCTGTTTAACTAGAACAAGTACTATTTGTTAGTGAAAGTTTCGTGGAAATTTGAAAAGCTTAGAGGATGGGGAAAAACCGCTTCAAGGGATTTTGTAGGAATTTTATTGAAAAACTAAACTTGAAAGAAGAACTTGTGCCTGAAATTGTTAAGCTTAAGAAGAGAGAGAAGAGAGATCTATATTATCAGTATCTATATTATCAATGACTTTTATCAATAGATTTAAGTGCCTTTATCTAAGGTTGCTACCAAAAAATGGAAATCTGCACATTTCTAAAATCAAATGGCCATATTCTCATGCCCCAAAAGAAACGAAATCAGCTGGAAGAACATTATTGTAATGTTAAACTCTATATTATACGTCCTTTCATAAACTATTTTTGCTTCAATGATTTTCCTTAGAGTTCTCTGAAAGTGTCTTACAGCCTCCCAAAAAAGGAATATAAATATAAGATTCAACAGGCCCACATTTTTTCCGGACACTTTCCATTCCTTTTCTTTTTATTTGACTTAAATAAATACATTCAAGTGAATATGGCGGTGGGTGACTGGGCCACGTTCTTTATGGTAAAAAGTTCAGGCCGTCAAGGAAAAGTCGAGTCGAGTCGAGTCGAGTCGAGTTGGGTAAATATATGTGTTTGTTCAGACACACTCGCACACGAGTGTACGTATGTACATAATTTAGTGAACTTGAAACTTGCCTCCTGGTCGTCCTGTGGCAGATATATGTATATATATATATATGTATATCGGATGTTAAGAACCTGGCCGAATTGTCGTCCCCTCTTTAATAAAAACAGAGGCAAAGGAGAAGCCCAGGGAAATTTCATGCTAAGTAATTTATATTGGCACCTACAGTGGTTGCCAAAAATCTCAAGGCCAAGTATTTTCTTTCTTCTTTCAACTTGATTTAATTAAAATTAATTGCCTTGCCATTTGCATTAAATGTGAATTTCTCCAATCAATTAGTTCAGCCAATATTATTCATAAATTAGGCAGGCTTTGTGTCAAGAGTTGTGTACTTAATAAAATTTTAATTATTATTTGGCAAGCAAAAAGAAAGATTAAATATTTAACGACAACTTAATGAAGCAAAAGGGAAGGTATATGAATAAACATTTATTTAATAAAAAGAAAGAAGGAAGAGTTTAAAGCCATTTGAAAATAAACAGGCCATAAACTGCATGAAAAATAAACTAAAAATGACAAGAAAATATTTGACAAAGATTGTTAGGACCATGCTGGAACATGAAAATTGTTGATGAAAATTGGATGAAAATATTTCCATTTAAATTGAAAAAGGCTTGTGAAAGACCATCGTACAAATATATATATATATATATATGTGTTGGAGAAACACACACATAAAAAGAAGTGCATTATGTGTGTACAGATGACAGGAGCGTCGGCAAGAAAAGCAGTATAAGCTTATTAAAGATTTAAAAAATATTCCATGCAATGCAGGACGAGCAGGAAATTGATATGCACTTACCGGCAACACGGAAGTCGAAAGAAAACGGTAAAGATATAGTAAAATATAAAGAAAGAAGTGAAGATGAGGAGTTTTAAAGGCGAAACGAGCGGGCAGCTGAAAAGTATGCTACGAATAATAAGAACTCTAAATTACTGGCTTGCACTGAGAAAAAATATGTTTTTTAAAAGTGAATAAAAAATAAAAATAGAAATTATAATAAATACACTAAACAACATAATATTTTTCAAATTTAAAAAAAAAAACATATTAATCTATTTCATGTTACAGAACTATAATTTTCCCAGTGTAAGATAGAAAGATCGAATAATAAGGCAGACTCCTAGAATGAACAAAAAGATAGTAGGGTGGCCCACTTTTCTTTCCTCCTTTCTTTACTTGTTTAGCCAGCTGCGTGGTAAATTGAAAGATAATAACGAAAACGGAACAGGATACGGGGAAAAACAGGTGAGTGGAGTGGCTAAAACGAAGCGCAGCAGAAATACCAAGTTGCAAAAGGAAATCAATTTCCCCCACTTGGCATCAATCACACATGGTGGACTCCGATTGAAAGCAAATCGCAGGTAAACAATGGAAATAATGATGAAGGGAAAACGTAATCGAGATGCTTGTTCTTCACTCTCCATCCAGCAATTGATTAAAATTTGTCGAGTTTATGTATGCTGTGTTTGTCAAATCAATCAATTGCAAGGAAAACAATATGAATATTTCAAAGGTATTTCATTTCATTGGAATTACTTTAATCACTGTCGATCTGCCTTCTATAGCTTATAAAATGTAAAATGAAAATTGATTTTATGTCTGTAAGCATTTTGACCTTTAACACTTTCGAGCTAAATTTAAAAATAAAGTGAATATATGGTAAGACGCCTAAGTAAACAGTCTGGTTTCTGATTTTATTTACTAACTAAAAAATATACATTATTACTTAAGTTCCAGTCATTAAAAACCAATGCTTGTAACAATTCGTATTATTATTTTAAAAATAAATTTATAATATGATTTAATTTGTTGATTTTTAAATTTCCAGCCTGTTTATTTCCGAAATTTTTCTACCAAAAAAAAAAGAAACAACAAGTGCATTTTAGTGGGTGGCTTTAGCACTTACCAAAAAGCGAACGTTTTGTCCACTTTAGTCCGTCAACCGCAGTTTCACCGAAATTTTGAACTAACATATACCTCAAATTACAAAAGCAATTTCATTTTACGACACTTATCAAAGGCTTCACGCAACATAAAACAGCCGGACACTAAATATTTCTCGTTTAGAGGACCAACAAAAATCGCATGCGAAATAAACTAGACCAAATTGCAATTCTCATGGAACAACAGCCAAAGAATCCTGGCAAATGGCAAACTTTCAGCTGATTGCGGTGGCGGGATTTTTGAAGTGAAGTAACCCTTGATAAGTAGCCATATGTCAAGAGGTTCCATTTTAATTAAATTTAAGTTTTGTTTTGTATATTTGATACTTTAAGATTTAAATAATACATTGAGTTGCCCTTTAAAAGATTCTTTAAACAAATACAAATTATATATTTTTAATATGTTTGGAATATAACTTAGAAATTATTTAACTAAAAAAAATAGTTTATTACATTTTTGAGTTTCTTGTATATTCATAAAATAGCTGCCATATTTGATAGATGATAGATAATTAAGTCAACGTCCTGCGGTTGTTATTTTGCTAGGCAAAGGACCTGCCGAACGTTTTAACACTATTTTGAAGTTCTCACTGACCGTGTAGTCCTCCTTGAACACCACAACCAGATTTAGTTCGAACTCTAAAATAAATGTTAAAAATATAAAAAATTAATGGTTACTAGAGTAAGGCATTAGGTTACTTAATGAGACCCTTACCGATTTTAAAATTCTTGGTGAGCAGCGTGGGGCAGGTGAACAACCTTGGCAGGACCATATAGATGGGTAGCTCTAGTTTCGGCAGCACATTACCATCGGCTATTTGAATGGTCTGAATTTCAGTGGCATCCTTGGAATATCCCTCATCGCAACCGCAGGTCTCCACGCGAACCAATTGCAATTCAATAGACTTAATGGCCGCCTCCGTGTGCTGAACCGTAATGCTGCCGGTAATTGGTGTGGTAACACAGGATTCACTACGATCCAGTCGACCTGTGATCAGGAATCTCGGCATGGACAATCTCTCCTTGGCACTGGCATTCTTTTGTAATGAATCTGGACTCAGACTGAAGGGCACCACCTTCATGGAATCCTCGCCCAATGGAACTGGTTTGTATTGCACGCAGAACTGTTGGACCCTGTTCATGGATTTACCCAGAAAATTACGCTTCACAGTGCAATTGAGTTGGTAATTAACATTGATGAAGACACCATGGTAGGTTTCATAAAGAATTCGCGGTTCCTTTTTGCACACCAAAGGCAGCTCGAAATGAAACTCAGAACGACCGGCGCTCAGCTTTCCGGGGGCAGATAACTCCAAGCTATTCTGCAGCAGATTAATGGGCTTCACAGAGTTATAGAAAGCATCAAATAGTCCCACTGTTTTTGCACTTAATTGTAGATTAACTATCCCTTCCAAGTATAACATAATTCCTTCATGTTTCGTTTCCTGCGTGCACTGAAACTGCACGCAGCCCAACAGCATATCCTGAGAATATAAATTTCCATTAAATAACAGTTTACTATAATATACTTATCTTACATTTTCATAGTAAACCTTATTTTCTCTCTTTAATTTAATATCAAAGAGCAGTGACATTTTAATCAGCAAATAAAAACAAATGAAACAGCTGATTTATTATGAGCCAGTCTGGCAGCCCTGACATCAGCTGTCTAGCAAGTTGGTAGTCCCCATCCCAAATAAACGAAAACAATTGAATTTTTATATAAGTTTCATTTGAATATTTCTTTTTATCCTCAAATGCCTCGCAATCTAAATGCAGAGAGGGACAATCCCTGCCTAAAGGTTTGCCTATTCATTAAAAATATTAATATTTTAAATAACATATTTAAAACACAGGAACAGGAGCTGTCATTCAAATGCCTCAACAAAAACAACTTTGATCGCGACAAGTGCGAAGTTTATTTTGCTAATTATAATAATTGCAAAGAGTTTTGGGTAAGTTTTTCAATTAAACTTATTGTGAAATAAACTGAAATTTAACTTTACAACAGAACAAAGTGAAAAGTGAAAGGAGAGCCAAAGGAATCGCTCCGTATTTACCACCATTGGAAGAACGGGAGGCGATCAAATCTGAATATATGAAAGGAAAACCTCAGCAAAGCTGATATCATATTTAAAAAAACGTTACTACCTTAATAAAAAAAAGTTTTTACATCAATTGCCCTTTCCTTTATAGTAAAAGTTGATAAACTGGATACGAAAAGTTTTAACTTGTAATATTTTTGTATAATTTAATTTATAATCCTATAAATTTGGTATTTACACATTAACAAATTTAGCCTTGGCTGTGAATAACATCGGCTCCTACAATTTTCAGCGTGGGCATAGACTCCTCCAACATGGACGTAGCCAGTTCCAGTTCCAGAGTCTTCTTGGGATCATCCAGGATAAGTAATTTAAGCTGCGGTAGGCGATACAGACATGCCAGTCCATTGGTGGTGATTTGGGTACCTGAGAGGTCCAACACCTCCAGATGAGGAAAACCACCTCCCGATATTCTGTCCAGGCACCAGTCATCAAAGGTTTTAACATTGTGAAAGGACAAAAACTTCAGAGAATCCAGGCAGCGCAGATTCTCCAATCCCTCGTAGTAGAGGACCATATTATCACACCTTAAGGCCTCCACCTTATATCCAGGATCGAACTTATTAGGCAGGTTGAATTCACCATCCTCTGTGGCCCGATGCCATCGGGAATCGTTGATAAATTTGGCGGCACCACCGCGATAGAGGATGAAATGTGCGGCAGCCAATTCGGCACCCAGAATCTTATGTCTTTCCGGGATAAATTGTTGCATGTGGCGTTCGATTCGCTCTTCTCGATTATCCCACCATCTCCTTATATTTTTGGGACTAAAATCAATGGGCTTCTGCATCATCACGATGAAATCAGAGGTCTGTTCTGCATCGGAGAACAGTTTTAGTTTGCTGTTCCAATCCTCCGGTCGGTCGCCGATGGGAGTCCGCCACTTTAGTTTCTGCTTGTCAGCGGCCAATTCCGCGCGAATCCTCTTCACCCTCGCACTGACCTCTGTCTCCTCGCCTGCCAGTTCCTGATTGGTGGGCATGGTAGAAGCCATCCGGCCGCCACATCGCCTTAAGGAGGAAAATCCACGCGACAGGCGCTGCAACATGCTTATGGTATGATTTTAGTAAATAAATGTTCGATTTCAACCGGATTAGAGATGTGCACATTACATGAACACTAGCGTGACTCACGATGTGATTTTATGGAGTTCAAAGGACTTTGTATGGCATTTTTACATTAGGATTTAACTGCTGCGGAGCTTAAAATAAAAAAATTTAAAAATAAGTTAAAATTGGTTGTTACCTTTCAGTTTTTTTCTTGTGGAACTTTGGGCAATATATGAGATTAACTATATTTAAACCATTCTACTGACACAAATTTTATTTTGCGCTTCAGCTTGAACAGAATATGAGTTCTTTATTTGTCAGATGTAAAGGATTATTCATTTATTTCCTAAATTCAATCCAATTCGTGAGTGAGTGATAACAAATGCGCGGGTGAAATCGCAGCAGCTGACGCATCAGCTGCTAGAACTCACATTCGTGCCAAGTTGTCATCCCCAAGCTGATGCGACGCCATTTTACTTTTGTGTGCTGTCAAACGCTGAATTTCACATTTCCACCACAAAAGAGCAAAAGAAAGGCAGACGACTTTTACTGAAAAGTGCGTGAGATACCACCGAAAAAAGAACCAGCTAAGTTACTTAAATGCTGATCAACCGCCAGACAAACTTTTGAATACAACGGCAGCGAGGCAAACGCCGCAGAATCCTGTCGAAAATTACGTGAATCAGCGCCAAGGGGAAACCGTGCAATTGGCATTTTAATTGGCGAAATTAACTGCATACAGCGTGCGGAAAAAATGGTCAATTCGTCTGGCAGCGAGGATGGCCAGTTGAGGAGCCCCAACGATGGGCATTATCACAGGTGTGTATTATCCGGGGGGTTATGGGGAAAACTCAAAGATTCTCCAATTCTCAATATGCGATTCATGGAAAATTGTTGCTGCATACACACAAAGAGGCGTACATATACACATGAGAGCTGGCAACGCGGCGGGAATTCCGTTAAAAATCTATCCAGATTCTAACTGTATACCGCCGTTGTCATATCTCACCCACACTTACAGCTGCGGTCGCAATAATAGTGGTGAAATACTCAAAAGGTGATAAGAATGTTTTTGAAACGAACTGATTTTAATTGTTAATGGGTAAACAAAAAGGTCTGTCCGGATTTCAGTTATTCCTTCAATTAAACACAATTTGTACACATGGTAATGTTTAAAAGTACTCTTTTTGGGAAAAATAATCAAATAAATGTCGAATTTCTGTAACCTTTAACATAGCAATACTGATAAGGAAATCTTATAAATATTAATGTATACTATTTACATTACAAAAAATACAACTTTTATTTTGACCGCACTCGTACCCACAACTGTTGCATGTGTGTGTATGCAGAGGATGGACAATTTTCGCCTCACCATCTTTATCTGTTGGCTATAACAAATTGTACATGCTAATTCTATAATCTTGAAACGAAAATTGCGTTTGTAAAAAGAACATTCGCCCCAAATATACATACATGCATATATATCACCCCAACATCCCTTTCGCGCTTGTTTGCTCTCCTTGATTAATAACAAAAAAGAATACCAAAAACCAAAAGAAAACAAAAACCAATTTATGACGATTAAAAATTTATTGAATTTATTGTACCGTTTAATTGACTTGAATTTTTTCGTTGCAAATAGGCCAAAAAGTGTGTACTTGTCCCATGACCGAGGCGCGCGATGGCCAACAACAATTCCTAATAATAATCATAATAATCAAAAAAAAAAAAAAAAAAACCAACAATACTATAATAAAAACAAAAAAACCAAAATGAAAACGAATGAAAAAAGTGCAAGCAAATATGCAAAATTCGAGTTTAAAAACTATGCACCTGCAGTGTCAACGGCAGACCGGACCGAATCTTCTCAAGCCAACCTACACTAATCTCGCTTGACCCGCCGCTGGCTAATAAAATGTGTTCCTAAAACCGAGAACCGAATACTGAACACCCGAGAATCGGAATCAAGGTCCGATAAGCTTCGAACCGAAACGATTGATCGATCGATATAGATCTGATTCATGTGCTGCTGGCGGTAAATTGTTATAATCTGTAATAATCTCAATTGAATCAAAAACACACAATATTGTATACTATATATTTGCTAATGCCTCTTTCCAAGTCCTGTCTCAATGTCTTTCGTGTCTCTCTGTCTTTCAAAAAGATAACTCTCATTCCCAGCAGGTTGCGCAGTCAGTCGTGTAAGTGTTTTACATTTTACAGCCCTTGGGAGTTTTTAGGAGCTTCGAGCTCCATGGAATAGTCACGGGATTCTGGGATCGGGTAAGTACTTCATTTGATTGCACTCAATGGTGGGGCGATAACCATTTTTTTCGGCAGCAATTATGTAATTTTTGGGCACAGTAAGTTATTTTGTATTTAACACTAAAGAGCTTTTTTTAATTAAAAAGTGGAAAAACAATAAATTTATCAACTATTTCTAGCGACAAATGTCTTAAATTTTATTGCGTTTATTAACTTTAATGTGCAATGCAAAAGTATTTAATGGCCCTTGATTACAGATTGTCTCCATGACTTCAAACTTTGTTTATGTGTCCACAAATCGACCCACCTAATTGCACTCGTTGATGCTTGGATATGGGCTTATCCAACTTATCCGAGCAACTTCGATCTTCGATTGCTTCAAATAAACCCTAATAATCCGCTTATGTACTGCACCAAAGATTTGTATCTAATCTCGAAAGAATTCCAGAGCTAGTGTGGACTCGAGTTTTTAAGGCATCCAAGGGCAAGTGTAAAATGTAATCCGCAACACCGACTGCAGCAACATGCAACCTGCTAGCAGCAATATGGTCAACATGGTCAGAGCAGCGCCTGGTCAACTGGGTCGAGGGTCATCGTCAGGCATCGGTCCAGAATCATCAGCAGATGGGACACCACATATAGCATGACACCATAATTTTGGACTTTCTTTCTTATTTTTAGCCGAGGCGAGGATGATGATCACGAGGCGGACTCCGATGCTTTGTACATACAACCCCCACAGGCCAGTCGGGAAATGGGATCTGGTTCTAGGCGTGAGAAAAAGAAACATTCCCGCGAGCGTCGACGCCACAAGGAGAGGGAAGACTTGGGCGGCGGTGGACTAGGACTGGAACGTGATCATCGTTATGAATACCGAAACCGGGAGGAGCATTATCATCATCATCATCGCGAAAGGGGCAGCAATGTGGCTGCCGCATATCCGAAGCACCACCTGGGCCACGCCTATCACTACCCGCAACCACCTCAACAGCAACAGCAGCCCCTTCCAACGGCTACCAGCTATTCTGTCCACCACCATCATCATCATCAGCATTTAGGCGGAGCTCGAGCAGCTTCCCGTGCCGATTACCATTCCTATCCATCGGGTTATCATTCGAGCAGTCGGCATGGTGACTATCCGATGGAGGAACCACCCCGACGTGGTAGTAAATACGTGGAGAGCAAGGATGCTGAAAGCTTGGAGCAGGATCTGCGTTCCAGGTTGCTTAAAAAGCGGCATAACTACGTTAAGGATTACGAAACGGAGGAGAATTATGAGCATCGCGAGCGAAGTGAGCGTCGTGAGAGCGGACGCAAGGAGCGGGAGCGATCTGGACGAAGTAGCCACAAGCAAAGTCGCCACGATCGCGTCATCGAGCTGCTGGACAGTCCCGAGCCTGAGCACCAGCATCAGCACCAGCACAAGTCGCATCGATCCAAGTGGCACGATGAAGTAGAGGTCACAAGAAGAAAGATGCCTGAGGATGAAGAGTTATTGGCTCGCCGAGATAAGCTACTTGCCGCCGAGCGTGACAGCCGACACCGAAAGCATATAGCTCGGGACGAACTGGAAGCTCGTCGGGAATTTCTACGCGAGCGAAACGAGCACAGTGATGCACTGAGTCCAACAGCAGTAGCTGCAAGCGTAACCGCAGGTTTAAATATTCAAGTCAAGAGGAAGTCTAAGCCGGATAACTATGATAAAGAGATTAAACACAAGAAGAGGCGGGAAGAGGTGGTCGAGGTTATCCAAGATGATGATGATGAGGAAAGCGAAGATAACGACTCAAATGAGGATGATGCCGAGGATGGCAGTGCCGAAAGCGCCACAGAATCGGGCAGCGAAGAAAGTTACGTTAGCAAAAAGAAAAGTAAGGTCAAATCCAAGCCTCATTTGGAGGATGATGATGAGGATTTACCATTGCCTGACAGTCCACTAAGCGTAGGAGAACTCTACAAGTCGCCCAAGCAACGCCAGCGATCTCGCTCTGTGAGCTCTAAAAGCAGCTCCGAGTCCAGTCAGAGTAGTCGCTCCAGATCTCGTTCTAAAAGTCAAAGCAGCCTGGAGGATGAGGATGATCGAAAGGACGACGGAGCAGCTGACTCCCCCAGCAGCAGCACACGCAGCGAGGAACGCGGAATGACACAACAACAGTCAGATGAAAAGCCGGATGAGAAACTCATGGAAAAGGCACCAAAGTCGCTTGAAGATCAAGTTCCATGCGATGACAAGGGCGTTCCCCTTCCTAACTACTATCCCGGCATACAGGGATGTCGCTCTGTGGAGGAATTCCAATGTCTAAATCGCATCGAGGAGGGTACCTACGGCGTTGTATACCGCGCTAAGGATAAAAGGACTAACGAGATTGTTGCACTTAAGCGACTTAAGATGGAAAAGGAAAAGGAAGGCTTTCCCATTACATCTCTTAGGGAGATAAACACCCTTCTGAAGGGACAGCATCCAAATATCGTAACCGTTCGCGAGATTGTGGTCGGTTCCAACATGGACAAGATCTTCATTGTGATGGACTATGTGGAGCACGATCTGAAATCGCTGATGGAAACGATGAAGAATCGTAAGCAGAGTTTCTTTCCCGGAGAAGTCAAGTGCCTGACACAACAGCTTCTGAAAGCAGTGTACCATCTCCATGATAACTGGATCTTGCATCGTGATCTGAAGACCTCCAACCTTCTTTTGTCCCACAAGGGCATCCTTAAGGTGGGCGACTTTGGGTTGGCTAGAGAGTACGGCTCGCCCATCAAGAAGTACACCTCGCTTGTAGTCACTTTGTGGTACCGTGCCCCCGAATTGCTGCTCTGCTCGCCCGTTTACTCAACGCCAATTGACGTCTGGTCGGTAGGCTGCATTTTCGCCGAATTCCTGCAGATGTTGCCGCTCTTCCCGGGAAAATCGGAGATCGATGAGCTTAACAGAATCTTCAAGGTAAGAATATTATTTATAACTTATGTATAGGAATATTAACCACTTGTTATATTTTTTCAGGAATTGGGTACCCCAAACGAGAAGATTTGGCCTGGATATACTGAGCTACCCGCCGTGAAGAACATGCTCTCGCAGAACTCTCAGTTCACCGAGTATCCCGTCTCGCAGCTGCGCAAGCACTTCCAGGAGAAGACTTCGGACATGGGACTGTCCTTGCTGCAGGGCCTGCTAACGTACGATCCAAAACAAAGACTGTCCGCCGACGCGGCCCTAAAGCACAACTACTTCAAAGAGCTGCCATTGCCCATCGATCCCTCCATGTTTCCCACCTGGCCGGCCAAAAGCGAATTGGGAGCTCGCAAGGCGCAGGCCTCGTCACCCAAACCGCCGTCCGGTGGCTCACAGTTTAAGCAACTGGGCCGCGATGAACCCATTGTCATGGGTGCTGGAAACAAGCTCTCATCGGGAATTATAACCGGTAACAAGAAGAGCCACGGAGGTGGCGCATCATCGACCAGCACAGGATTTGTCCTGAACTCCGGGTTAACGCAACGCCAGCTAGCCATGGGACCGGGATTCAGTCTAAAGTTCTGATTCGAAGTTGGATTCTGTGTGTTTTTAGCCAATTACGACTATGATTAATTGTTATGTATAGTTAGAGATGTAAGTTAAAAATTTCGTTTAATTGTATGTGTAAAAATATTGTTCCATATATAATTTAAAAAGCCATACAAAACAATTGGGATCAATTAGCATTTTTCATTTAAACAGCAATAATCCATCACATTAGGGTGGGATAAATTAAGGGATGTGAAACAACTGGAAATTCTTAAGAGCAGAAAGTTAATTAACACTTGAACTTTAGGCTTCGCGCGCAAAATTTTCTTTTCCGGGATTATTTTTAAGTTATTTGCGTTTTGTTTATATTAAAGTATATATTTTAATAGTTCAAGGATTAACTTTCCGCTTCCGGAATTCTTAGGATCTTAGAATCGAAAATCGGCCCCCCCTCTGTACACTCCCAATGCATCTACACCTGTAACTTTAAAACTTAGCCTAGAAGAAATACTCTTGCTACATCTCTAGAATGTCTAAGTGGACCAGAGATAGAAGTAAGTGCTTTGCCACGTTGGAATGTAGTCTTTCAGAGGTCCGGCCACCACCTTTGCAATGGGCACACTAGTGGCCACAAAGTCCAGGATCCGCTCCAGCTTGGATTTAGTGTAACTGTCGTAGAATGGCGATCGGACTAGGAAGTAGAGGATATTGATGCATCGCCTGCTCAACTCAAGTTTTTGTTGCTTGGACATGAGGTCACGGTGTTGACGGTACAAGTGGATGCTGTACAGATCGATGGATAATGCAACCATATACTGCTTCCAGCTTCTCTGGCCAAACAAACCCATGGCGGCCAGGTGGATGAGGGGCTTGGATATATACAGGTACTCGGCTTGGAGGAGTTTTTTTGGGATCAGGGTCTTCACCGCCTCATTGTTGTCTATATGAAGCTTGAAGTCGCGATATTGCAAGGGAGGAGCACCCTCCACTTTGCGGATCACACGACCGGACCGCTTTAGTTGGAAGGTTATAGAGTGCTGGGATTGCAACACATCGTTTGTAGTGGAGACACCATCCGCTGAAGACTTTCTTTGCTTGCCCAGGGCCCTTCGATTCAGTGAGGCGATTGGCGGCGAGGTGATGATATCCGAAGTGGAGTGTTTCAAGATAAAGAAACGACCCGCCGCCTTGAAGGCCTGTATTAGCGCTATCACTAACCATTTGCCGGATTGACCGAAAAGCCGGCGGGCTGATATCTCGATGAAAACCTCGCTATATTCGAGTGTCGTCAACGTGACCTTTAGACGGTAGCAAAGTTTCGATTGCTGCTGGATCACTGAATTCTCCTGGGAGTTACGTGCTCGTTCGATGATCCGATCGTTATAAAACACCAGCATGTTGGATAAAGTGTACACCAGCTCGCTAACCACATTCGATGAAGAAATGCGACCTGGAATCCGGCCAACAGTTAATTTTATATGATATATGTCAACTCAAAGCTTGCTTCACCTGCTATAAAGTAGGAAACCCATTTGGCGGTTGTCTCGAAGTCACCCACTACATCCGGGTTTTTGGCCACCCACGCCTCGTATGCCTTGAGCATGCCCTTCAGAGTATCCATTATATCCGGAAAATATCGCCTTTCCTCGAAAAATCAAATAAAAGTGAGGAGGTTCGGCCTGCAGGTGAAACAAAAAGGTGCAGCTGGGACGTTCTGGATTATGGATAGAGGCGTTAGTGCTTTTTTGCCAATAATCAGATTATTGGAAGGTTGTGTACAAAGATTAGTGGCTAAGATGCTTTAAAAATATGATTTAAAAACTATTCAAAATGTCAATCTTTTTAATATAAATTGCAAATGATCTAGAAAATAAAGGCAATAATCAAATTATTTAAATTATTGTTCGTATAATACGTCAATTTGCTTAAACAAGCCGACTTTTTATGACGTCACACCTCTATCCACCTCACACCTCGGCATTGTGGAATGTGTAACGCTTTAACGATTTCAAGTGGATGAACTGTTTGGTCACACTATGGTTTGTGCCGAACTTTGTGATAGAATTGCGACTGAAATCGGGGTCGGCTCCGTTTTCGAGAGGATTAGCTTGGCAAGATTGAATTAAGAGTCGATATACAGATGTCCAGCAATAATACGGATACCGGGGACACAACCATCATGGCCACGTCAACCTCATTACAACAGGATATTGAAGCCGGCGGTGAAGAACAACTACCCCGAGAATCACTGGTAATATGTAACCCCTCGAGTTTTTGTCTAATCTATAATCCGGCTATTCAATACAGATAACCACTGCAGTGAGCTTTCTACAAAACACTAAAGTGCGCCACACTACGCTTATCCAGAAGCAGCAGTTCCTACGGTCCAAAGGTCTCACCGCTCACGAAATTCAACTGGCCTGCGAACGGGCCGGCGTCTTCACTCAAGATCCCAATAATCTGAATCCCACTCCGAATACGGTGATCAGCATTGGATCCCAGCTCCAGGCACTACAACCCCAGCCAACGGTATTTGGCCGAATACGGGAAATACTTCATTCGGCAGCCCTCTTCAGCGGAGTTGTTTACGCGGTCTACTTGTTTTGGAAGGTAAGTAATCCAGTATAATAATCCAGGATATAGTAATAATACTAATTATATATTCATTTTAATACATTGAGAAATATGTGGATCAGTGGCATATATGGATAATTTTATATATTTTAATTGCCTTTTGCACTTGAACGTTTAAGCATCAACAATGAATTATTAACATCTACTCCATAAGGCGAAATGAGAGTTCAAAGATCAATATCTCATCTCCAGCTGGTGTACATAAATCTTTAATGACATTTTAAAAATATCGCGCCGCGTTATATTTATTCAGTCAATATTAACAAGTTTTTTAAAAAATCGTAAAGTATTCAGTCAGTTCAACGCATACTTGAAGCTGAAACTTTGTTTGTTTGGGGTTTGTTAACAGTCCTAAGATCATTTGGGTGTATCTATCTTATCACACAATTAAATAAATAAACCATCATTTCCTTTACAGAAGTACATCGCGCCATACCTCTTTGGCAAGCCCAAAAAGAAGCCGGTCGATGAGGTTCTTGACGACATAGATAAGAAGGTGGAAACGCGCACCAACGACCTCAACAAGGAGATCTCGGCGGTCAAAGAATTGATCTCCAGTCAGCAGAGGGAACATTCCCTTCAGTTAAACCGCGAATTTAACAACTTCCGCAGCGATCTCGATGCCATCAAAGGTCTGCTGTTGAACCGTAAACAGTTTGCTGGCCCCGTGGCCCCTCTTGCAGTGCCATCAATTCCTGCCTGGCAATTAGCCGGCTCCCCGCATCATCATCATAGGCACAGCGGGTCGGACGACAATGAAAAAGGCGATGATGCTGGCTCCGGATCCGGGTCCTCGGAGACCGAAGTGGTGACCAAGAATAGTGACTCCAGCTTGGAGATCATGTAATGCAATCGGAATATGAGGCTGGCTATATCGATATAGCGATACATAGTTAAGCTGAAAATGGTTTTTGTAAATTGAGTTTCCCTTAAATGCCTTTAAGACTCTTTGGTTATTTTTTGCTTTGCGTTTATAGCATTTAAGTTTTCTTTATAGTCAACAGCTAATCCATATCCAAAAGTACATACACACACTCACATATACACACTTATGCGATACGATGTCTATATAATGTAATAATAAAAAATGTTTACATAATAACAGGTTTGAATTTAAAGAAACTGTTTAATTAAGCGCAAAAATGCTTTTGTGTAGTGTTTTTTTGTTTATCATTACATACGGGGTGGGGTAGCATATCGGTTTAGATAATAAATTTAGACTTAGACGATAATTGGTTTCTAAAAATTTTGCCGAGTGCTACTTTCTATAAATTGGCTAAATTCCCTTTAGTTTGATTTATGAATATGCTATGAGCTTGTCAATGAGTTTGAATCAAACTCCACTCATATCCTAAAAGATTTGTAATTAATTTATTTATTATTGTGCGGTGCGTAGTTATGGTTTTTGTTTTTTTTTTTTTTTACTAAAATTTGGTTCTCTGCGCTTTCCGTTTTTCGCTTTATCTTCATTTAATTTTCTTTACTACTTACGTTAATTTTTATCGATTTGTACATACGATAATTTAGTATTCAAATAATTTTGTTTCCGTAATTTTTCATTTAAAGTAAATTCTAGTAAGTTAATAGTCTCACAAAAGATTGTTAAGGGCTTCATAGTTCATTTAAATATTGGTTTTTATTTTATATTTTGCGAAATACCCTGAAACAAGGATAAAGAAGCACACCCTACCCATACTAAGTATGCGAAATTAGTCTTTTGTTGGGTAGCTTGGCCCTTGTTTGTTGGGCATACTCGTTAAATAAGATATATAGTGGCCAGGCCGGGATTTATCAGCTATTTCAAATTAAATATAACATATTTACAATTAATCATATTATGCAATTTGGGGCAAAACCAGCTGCCAAAGGCCGAGCACTGTGTACATTTGAAAATTAAAGCTTTGACAAAAAATATAAAGGATTTATAACAAATAATTCAGTATTTTCAAATTTCCGAATTTACACGGTATCAACATATAATCGGCTTGACTGACTTGTGTAAATTAACCAATTATGTTTTGAAAAATATTGCATGTTTTTTAGTTTTCCTAATTACAATCAAAAATATTTAAAACGAAATTTTAAAAAGTGTACTTTTACCGAAATTAGGAAGTTTTTTTTCACTTTTAGCTTCCGTTTTTTGATTAAAATTTATAGAAATTCCATGATATTAAATCTTGAAATTGGTAAGATGGCCGTTAGTATGAAATGAACCCCAATTGGTTTTTCCCTCTTTCTCAAATGTATACCTAGTTTATGCTAACAGAACGTGCACAGAAAGTGTGGACATAATAGAACCATAACTGGGTAGAAGGATCCCCCTTTTAGACGGCTGAATTGATAACCGCTTGTGTAGAGGCTGAACTACTGATGCTATTGGTCTGGCCAAATGCAGAACCAGCTCCAGTTGTCGATGTGCTCGTCGTAGCTGTAATGCTCACCGCTGCCGCTGTGGCAGATGACCCACCATCCGGATAACCACCTGATGCAGGAGCCGGTGATAGGGACATCGTTGACGATGAGGGCGATGAACAATCGCTTTGCACGCTCATAGTGGGTGAGGCGGCTACCAGATTGCTGCTACTGCTCGTATTGCTAATGGTCATCGGAAATTGTGGTGGCGGATTCCCGGTGGGCGTGTGCGGGGACAATGGCGACATCGACGCCGATGTGGTGGCAGGCGACGGACTGCTGCATGCGTTCGTTGTGATGGCTGAAGAGGAACCACTGCTGTTGATTCCACTGTTCGTACTGGTGATAGATGTTGGAGCAGATGAAGCGGCCGATGGAGGCGTCGATGGCGATTGTTGGCTGGAGCTTACGCCAGCTGCTGCTGCCGCAACAGCAGCTCGTTCACGCTCCCGATCTCTTTGCGGCCGAAAAGCCTCGCGAAGTGCTTCTACGCGAATCTCGTTAGGTCCCCAGCGCGCGTATCCAGCGCTATTTTGAAGCCATACCACCTGGGTACCCTGCATGCACTTAATCAGCACATCGGATCTGCGAGTTAATCATAAGCAATAAGTAACTTCTTTTCAGAAATTAGTAACTAGACTCACTTTTGCAACATGTGCTGATAGCCGTGCCTATACTCGTGGGCCATGCCCAATACCACCATGGAGCGACGCTTGTACATGCTCTCGTCCAGCTTAGATATACTCTTCCATTCAGGCAGAAATACAATGAAGCTGGAAATGGGTATTAATTAAATTTTATTAATTAATTAGAAATAAAATATAATATAGTTAAAATTTACCTTAGTGGCTCCATAGTGTCGGTGAGCAGTTTGTCGATGTGCAGCAAAGAAGCCTCGATCAACTCCTCGCAATGAGGAGGATTCACTTGAAAGGATCCGGAAACGGGTTTGAAGTCCAGGAAGGGTCTGTTAGGTTACCAATGTAATTAAAATATAGCTATTAAGTAATCATTTCATAGGTTACTTACCCCCTGGAACCGAAGTAGGCATCCGTATCGGCGAACGCCGAGCAGTATTGCCGGAAATAGGAATTGAATGGCGAGGCAAAGCACTCAAAACTCACGCCAAAATGCCGATGCAAGCACTCGAACACCGGTACTGGCAAGGCCGCCTGGGTTAGCTCTGCCTCCTGGGAGGAGTTCAAGGAATTGCCCAGAAAGGTTTGATACCTCTTGAGCAGACACCACACCCGTCCGATGAACAGATCGAATTTCTTGTCATCGAAACAGTTGTGGCGGTACAACTGCTCCAGTTTTTGCAGATAGGTGAGGTTGATGTACTGAGCATCCGGCTGATTGATAGTGGCGGGCGTGTACTTGATGATCATGTGGTCGCGATCCTGCAAATACTCGATTGTCGGCATCCGTGGCGATGGGACGGCAAACTGTATTGGATAGCACCACACTTTTTTCAAGTGTGGCGGTGGGGGCGGAGGTGTTGGTTCCGGGATTCCGTGCTCCTTGAGCAACTGCAAATGGCGCTCCCTAATTTTGCGGGCATGATCAGCCGACAAATGGTAGATCTTAACGCACAGAGTTTCAACGGAACTTTTAACTGTCTCTACTAAGTGGGGCTCACACTGCCGTTTTAAATGTGCCAGACGATCCTGGAAATCTTCGTAGCTTGCGCCTACAGTTCGTCTTAGCCACTGGAACGTGTCCTCCACATTCCATTTGACAACCTTCTTGGATTCAGCTGGCGCTGATCGGGATTCTATAATCTGCTTAGCAGCCTCTGCATAGCGAGAAAGCTGCTTCCGGGCATCCCCGGTGAACTTGGGTTTCACTATCTTGATAGGTATATCCGACATGATTTCACGGTACATCGAGCTGGAAATTTCCGGAAGGCAGCTGCTGGGCAACAGTGGATCGCAGCCAGTATCTATAACTTTGCGTTCCATAAGCCAACGATTGAAAGAATCTCTTGGCGCTTTAATATTCTCCCTGCGCATGCATAGATCCTCGTAGGTTTTTAGCAACTTCATGCTAAAGGCAGCTCGTAGAGCCTCTACCTCGGGATGCGGTTGCGGCAGAAGTGTGGGAGGTCGCTCCACAATCACCGCATTGGTGCACACCTCCAGATCCCAGGGTCCGGCAAGAACGAACTTCTTCATCGGTGGTCCACCGCCCACATGATGCTGCTGATTCGGGTGGATGTGCATGTCGTCCGACGGCCGACGCTTGAGATGATGGTGGTGGTGCTGATGCTGTTGCTGTTGGTGCATATTAGGAGTCATCGGCGTCGGACCACCCGCATGGCAGATTCCCAAGGGATCGGTGAGAGGATCAAAAGGTCTGTTGCCGGGCATTTCCCATAACGATTCGCCTGTTACCTTGTTCCAATAATATGGCCGGTTTTCCCGCTTGGACCAAAACTTTCGCCATCCTTGGTTTACCAGCTCGGCGGTAAGTTCTTCACCGTAACCACCAGGTCCCAACGTTGGAGGACCCTGCGGCGTATGTGCCATACTCTCTAGCGGCGATGGAGCATGTGTCTTCGTAGGAGTTGATGGTGAAGAACAACTGGCCACTGGTGAACTGCCCGCCCCACTGCCCGGATTGTCCGTTAATATGGGACCCGTGACCGTGGGAGCTCCTGCCGTTGGTGAAGGTGCCATGTTATTGGAGGCACTTGCCGTCAGCTGATCCCAGGCACTCTGTGCGGCGGAAGAGGAGGAGGACCTGGTGGGAATGGGTACCGGTGATGATCCTATTCCTGGCGTTCCCGTCGACGCAATCACGGAGGACAATAAGCTATCCGTCCCCGCGCCCAGGTTGTGTATATTGCTATTGTTGTTAGCTGCCATGCTGCGGGATTATTTCTGCAAGAGCGAGGTAAACAAAAACAAATGCTTAGAATCGGAGAGTGAGAGAAGAGCGGCTGATTGGAAGAAGCAGAGGGAGGGGGATGAGAGCGAGACAGCGGGAATAAACAATAATCAATGCTCAGTGATGGCAAGTTCGAAATCATTAAATTGGCTTTTTTTTTCTAACTTCTTTGGCTAATAACAGTGAAAAAATGAAATACGTAAAATAAACTATACTAGAAAAGAAAAGTAAAGATATAGTATATAGAATACTTCCTAATTAATCACAAGGGAAACATAATTCAAACATGTTATAGAAAATCAAAAAAAAATAATAGTACCTTACTCTTAAAAAAAAAAGAGAATATATGTAATACAATATACAAATTAAATTACTGATTGTCAACAAAATAATAATCAAATAACATTATCCCCATTCTGACTATAATAAATCCAGTTCTAGCCGGAAAATAGCTAACTATGCATTGCCTTCACAGCAGATAACGAAGTGAGCGCACGACGTAGACCCATAACTGCCGTTAGTCGAATACAGACACTCAGCGGAGCGAGATCGGGGGCACGCTTAATCGGACGAAATTATGCGTGGAGATCATGGGGAGTAAGGAAAATTAACATTAAAAGTATGGACTAGAATATCCTCAAACGCCAAAGAGAGTATATAACCAGAAAACAGTAATTTCGCCGCCCACAAAAATGAAAACAAGAAAGAGAGAGACGGCGCGCATGAGCGAGAGAGGCCATGAGAGCAAGTAAACGCTCTTGCTCTCACACGAATGAGAAATCAAAACAAATTGCAAAAGAATAGAGATTTTCTGCCTGGGTTATGTGTATATGTTTTGACGAGCGTGTACCAAGCGTATGCGCACCGCTACAAGCGGAATAAAAAAAATATACAAAATTATTTGCTGCACTCGCACACACACATTCGCACACCTCGCTGGCACACACACCTACACACAACCGTACGGTGTGCAGGCATTATGCACACCATATAAACAATTGCGAAAAAAAATTACACTTGATTTCGTGGCCCCCGACGGCTACGTCATAGCACTAAAATAATGGCGCGCTTTTTTAATGCACCCACAAAAAGTCGCCTCTTAAGTCGCTAAAAATTAGAAGAGAAAATATAATAATTTCTGTGATTTTCATCGTTTGATTAGATAAGGAGCAATGAGGGAATTTGCAGGATATCGGGGTAAATAAACAACATTCTGGGTGCAACGAAAATTTCTCTACACTTTCTTTTTTGCACCCACTGAGGCACAGGCACATCAATATTTTCCATTTTATATACGCTGCCTGGCATCGTGTGGCCGTATTGCTTGAAACGCCCTGAAACGCCACAAAACTCACCTAGTTTCAACTATCCTAGTCTGATAAGCACGCGCTACGTGTTTGCAAACATTTAGGCGTGCTCTGGACGTAAATATTCCCGCGATTTTCTATCCAAATTTATAAATAAGTTCTCGAATTCTTTTTCAGCGACGAAACTCTTGTGCAGTCGAATCGAGATGGCATTACGGCGATAGACAGCGTAGTATCGATTGTTCTCTGCCATATCGTTTGCTTTGGCGCGATTAATCGTGTATGATGGTTCAACGGAATTTCGTCTATTTTTTAGCTGTGACCAAAAATATATTTTCTCGATTTTCCCTCGACTATGAATATTCAATACTCTGTTTGATTGGAATGTTTAACAACTTTTTATTTCTAATTTATCGTCTGCAGCTTCAGACAAATTTCTATGCTTATGTTGAGATCTGGTTTGTATCGGTTAATTAGCCGCAGCAGATTGTATTTTTTCGCTTTGGAGTTGTTGGATTCCAATTCATATAAAGTCGAAAGGTTGACCAGCAAGCTCTCGTTTAGGGATTTCTGGGGATTTAAGTTGATAGCGCGTTCGTACAGGTTAATAGCATCCTTGAGCTTTCCAGCATACAGAAGGCACACTCCCATATTATTAAGAATCATTGTATTGCCGGTATCCAAGTGCAAAGCCTTTTGGAATATCACATACGCCTCAGGAAAATCGTTTTTGGCCACAGCTATTAGCCCTTTGTCCACCAGGTCTCTCAGATCTGGCGAAGAGTTTCTGAAAATAAGGAAATTATAAATGAAAAAAACAAAATATTCGTGTTAGTCGCAACTTACATTTCCCTCAACCTTCTTGAGACGGCAAACTTTTGTTCTGCTCCAAAAATATCACCAATTTGAAGATAAATGCGTCCCCAAGCGGAGTACAAGGATCGTTGATCCTCCTTGCTCAGGTTAGATCGCTTTAGAAGGGTTCCCTCCATTATGTCGTCTATCATACTGAATTTTTTCATCTGAAAAAAGGAAAAATTGTTAAAATTTCATTTGTAAGTAGCAGTTCTTCCTTTAAATTTACCATCAAGCCACAGTTGATGATCGAATGCAAGACCCTTTCGCATCGCCTCTGCCAAAAGTCTTCCGCCTGCTTATTGTGCAGATTTATATAGTGTTCTTTAATCTCCCGGCTTGTGACATGGAGTTCTGAAAGTCTGTCCAACGCGATGTGAGGCTTTCCCAGATATATAGGAAGCTCTGCGAGTAAAAGCCGGAACGAAAAACATGCTATGGATCCGCTTTTGCCATTGTACATCTCCGGATAGAAGTCGTAAAAGACATCAGCACTTGTTAGCTGGCCAAAGGGTTCTGCTTCAGCACTCAACAGCTCGAACTCGCCTAGTTTGGCGAGGAGAGCGAGTCGGGTGAACCACAATTGCAGGGAGTGCGGAGAGTGTTTGGCCGGTTGACCAGATCTGCCGTATCCCTGGCCATAAATAGTCAGGAGGCGGCCAGTTAGATTCACAGCTGTACGATAGCAACCGGCGTGGATTAAGGTTCGTAGCCCGCGCTCGTCCTGTGTGACGTCATCGACGCGCAGTATTTTACGATAGGACAACTCGGCTTCTCCCAGATGTTGTGTCACTGCCACGCTAATAGGATCAACCTTGAATTATTCCCAATAAGGATCAATATAGTGATAAGTAATTTGTTCCAAAACTTTATATTTGGAGCTCATTCGTTAATTTACCAAATCATTTTGCAAGTGGATTCCCGGCATTATAAGTTTGCTCGTATCATTTTCCTTAGGCAGTTCCCACAGGTTTCGCACCTCATCCGTAACTTTAAGGGAATCCTCTCCTGCCTCAGGTGTCTCAACATATTCAGGTGGCTGGAAAAATCCGGTAAAGGTGTTGGACATCATGTTTGTGGTGGAATTGGTGGTATTGCTGCTTGTGGAACTTCCTTCTGTTGGCAAGTCCTTGGATTTGGGCTTATTAGCCAGCTCATCGAAGAAACTGGGCGGATCGTTTGCAAAATATTCGCTTATTTTATTTGACATGTCTTTTGCTGTTTTTTCCGATAACTTTATGGAGATGTCACTATCGTAGCTGGAAGAAAAATACTATCGGCTGTGGGTGGCGCTAATAATTCATTTGTTTAAAATTACTATTTCGATAGTCAAATATATATAAAATTGATATAGGTATTTGTTGTTTTGTACGAATACTAGGATATATCTTATAACTTATACTTATATAACTTATAATTCTTATAAGTAAAGTTTGGTGTCAAAGAGAATAGAATGTCAAAACTTGCGAAATTTCAGAACAAAATTCCACGGCTTTATATGTGAAATATTTTTTAAGGTGTTCATTTTTTTTATAACTTATATATCAGAAAATACTTACTTCTTAAATAAAATCCAATTTCAAATTTATTAAAATACTAACTTCTTAAATAAAATCCAATTTTAAACATATAGTTATTCGAGTTTATTGATCTACTTCCATTGGTTTATTAATAGTATTGTACAATACATAAAGCAAAAATAAGTTTATTCTAAAGCTAACGAAGTTGTGCCATTTGATGACCAGTTTTCCATTTGCTTTTGTCCTAACATAAAAACGTATTATTATTTACACGAAAAAAACAGCCTAGCATGGATCGCAATTTTTTTATTGCCCATTGAAAATCGTTTCGGGATAATAGCTGGGGGCATTGAACATGCGCGGGAAGCCATTACCGTCCAATTGCCCAGGAAGCACCGACATAATATCACTGAAATTAAACAACAAACTTTTAATTCGATTTGATATCATGTAAGCTTAGTGTTATCCATCCATCATCCAAATATTTTCTAAATAAATAAATAGGAGAAATTTCGTATATTTTAATATCTTAAATCCCTAAATTTTGTATAATAAAAATTGTAATAAAAAATGGTCATAAAAAACGCAAATAAACTATATAATATTTTTGTAATCTTTAAAGACTCCATTTTTAGGTTTTCACATGATCCTAAGATGGTTTTCGTTCTGGAAGTGAGACTGTGACTGTTTTAACAGCTAAAAAGAACACATTTACTCCACTTGTGGGTCCGAACTTCGAATGTGTGGTATGTGGTTGGTGTGCTGCAATTTGACGCCCATGGAGAGGCAATGCGATCGAACAGCGGGATACCCGGGGTGTGATGGAGGGCACATGCTACACGCATGCGCTGCGTTAGGAGGAGCCGGGGCACGTCTCGAGTCCCTTTTGGCTCTATAAATATTCAGAGGACCGTGCAAGGAGCCGGTCGAAATTGGACATAAAACACGCTCAAGTGGGCGGACTTGGACGCACAAGTGCTTTACGGTCACTTACAAACGATTCTTAATGCCAATTCCCAAACAATTGATTATATATGCGTTCGGATTTCGGAGTTTTGTTCTAGGGCGAAACACGCTCAAGTGTTGAATGAATTGTTTTACGAGTTATGAGGAAATGGAAATGGCCATGCCGGCGTTATGTTCGCCCTTTAGCAAAAACGAAGTTTGTTAGTTGGATTTTAGGGAAATGTTAAAAAAAATCTAACTACACTTAAAACTTTAATAATTTTCAGAAAAATAAAATCAAAGCATAAAATATGAATCTTTGTCAACTTACGGTCTCTGCTGAGGCGTGCGATCCCTCTGCCGACGGTTCTTGAACCAATTGGACACCTGGGTGAGCGTCAGTCCCGTCTTTTTGGCCAGCGTCTTCTTCTCGTCGGGAGTGGGATAGCGATTCGTTAGGTAACAATCCTTCAAAGCATTCCGGGACTTCTCTTTAAAGCAATAGACCGTCTCCTCACCATCCCAGATCGTTTTGGGCAGGGGATACTTTTTCCGCAGGCGATATTTATCCACTGCTCCAAGTGGACGACCGCGAACCTTCTCTGCCTCCTTGTAATGAGCCTTAAACCAGAGATTCTGCAAATCCACATGGTATTTGATGGAGAAACAGTGCGTCTCGAGCAGGTTGTAGAGCTCATGGAACTGACCCAAGTTATAGGCTACCATAGCTCGGGCACGCAGGACACTCTCGTTGGTCTTGAAGAATTCGCTGGGTGGCAGACTGCAAAGGAAGGTGGTCAACTTTTCGATGTCACCCTTTTGCTGCAGGGCTTCGCACATGCACTGGATCTGGAGGAATGTACCATCGTTAGAGTAAGTAAGTATTATGTTTTTAGTTTTAGAAATTTACCTGATCCGTTGAAAACTGCAGCATTTTGGCATCGATGGGAAAGCTTCCTACTGCGGTCATGTTGTGAGCAGCCGTGAGATTGGAAATCAGATGACCTCCACCCCCTCCACTGCCGGGATTACCACTCAATCCACTTCCACTCCTCTGCAAGCCGCATAAATCGGTTTTGGTGTTACCATTGAGATCGCCTAAATTGCCACCGCTGCCATTCTCGAATATTATGCTATTCAGGCTGGGATAGTGGGTGGGCGTGGTTGAAGCGGTGGGCGGTGGGGACTTATCATAGTCGTTGGTGATATCCTGAAAGCGACGCTCTAGCAGGTGATCTTTTTCCGCTCCCTCATAGGGAGCAAACTTATCTAATTGCAAAACCGTTTTGCATGAAAGGTTTCCACGATAACCTGAAGTTTAAAGATAAAACAAAAACAATAAAATATTTTAATATTGTTCTTAAAAGATATATCCAATATCAAATAAGACCAACTGAACCACAAATGTTGTGATTATATACCGAAAAACTTTATCAATTATTTAAATTCCTAGAAATTCTAAGTCTTCTGGGAGATCCGACACTCCAGATTTAGCTCTTTCGAAGTTCTTTCTCACGTGCCATTTCGGTGGTCAATGAAACACCCCGCCTTCCCCCCAGGGGAACCCTAGATCAGAATGTGACTAATCGAATGCCCGACATGACCAAGACGATCGTCGTCTTTCGACACCTCCGACTGTGGGGACTGTGGATCATATTGAGGCCCGAAAGAGACATCAAGCAAATAAATAAATGCGATATGCTTACATACATTTTGTCAAAGTAAATCCGAGTATGTGTATATGTGTGGATATGCAATTGTGAATATGTAAATGTTATAAAACATAACTCATTTGATGGTGCATTGTTTGAGAGTAACAGCGAACTTTAAATGCCCTTTAAACTGTGTTATTACATTAAAGTTTAAACCATAAGGAAAGTACAATATCAACAAAATAAAATGATTATGATGGAAGGTATTAACTTATATCAAAACTTTATTGTTAAAAGATGACAAATTAATAATAAAATGTAGGTGAAAATCGTATATTAATTTGAAATAAGTATGAAAAGGGACTTGAAATTGAAAACATGTAACACAAACTTGTATATTTTTAAATCCAAGTAAAGGACTAACTCTACTAAATTGCATAACAATCTCCTAAACAACTGCATAACCCCATCATGCACCCTACACATGCAGTCCTCAAAAATGTGTGCTCCTCAGCAGAAAAAAAGTCCCAGGCTTTAATTGTTTATGCAGCGCCTCATTGACGCCTCTGTCCCGAAACACGATACTCCCTGGTCTTGTCTCTAGACCATTTGCACCGATAAGACTAGACCTAGTTGGATCCAATTTGGATAAATATATTTGACTCCCTCAAAGCTTACCAGCATTTGGAAGAAAGAGTGATCCGTAGGCCATCGGTGAACTGAGGTTGTCCTGCTGCACGGCTGAGTGATCCGAAGATGTGCCGCCGGAACTTGTGGAGTCCAGATCACCGCCAATGGACACCGATAGATTGTTGCCATCCATGTTTTTTTCGAACATTATTATGATTTTTTTTTATAAATTTTATTATTTTATATTATTAATGATGTTTATTAATGATTTTAGATTATTTAATTCATCATTTTTACTTTTCCACTGAACTTTTCTTGACCGTTTTTTGAAGATTAATTTTTGTTATTTTCGCTATTTTATTCGTCACTAATATTGGCTTTTTTCACTTATATTTTTTAACATATTTTGGTTTCTGTTGAATTGCTTAAACTAAGTCCTTTGATTTATATTTATTTACTTAAACGTTTTTGTTTATATTGCTGAGTTAATTTCAATGTTGGTTTAACAACTAAAAACTGGACTCTATTTTAGAATTTTTAACGTTTTTCACTTTTTCCGATTTGTATATTTATTTAATATATTTTTGGTTTTACTTAATATTCTATTAATTTCAATATTTCTTCTTTCTTTCACACAAGTAAATAATTTGTTATCCCCGTAACTTAATATTCTTGCTATTTATTTATAAACTTTTTCGGGACCGTTTCTTTCCTTGCGACTTGACGCGTCCGCTCTTCAAACTCGACTGCAAGCCAAAGAAAACTGCATTCCAAGGGTGTGTTTCGTTTCATTTCGTTCCGGTGTCGGCCTGTGGAATGTTTGATTTTTGGGAAGGCCACCGTTAACTGGTTGCAATCTGGCCAATTTAGGGGTGGTTCCGTTTCCGTTTGGCACCCGCGGGCGGTGGGCGTGACCCTTTGGCAGCCATTTTGTCTTATTATCACACAGTCGTGATAACTTTTTCGCATTGTTGTCTTGTTTTTTTTTTTTGGGTTGCTTTTTAGGGGCAGAATAGGTAGGGTCTTGGATTTGCAAACATCATGACCTCATTAGCGTTTTTGAGGGTGTCTAATGAATGCCCGTGTGCTGTTTCTTGGAATTTACATCGGATTTCTGTGACATTGCTTAATTCGGCGAGCTGTTGGGTGATCTTTTTACAGAGATGAGCTTTTTTGCTTTTTCTTTTTGAATTATATTAATTAATTAATGTTAAAAATCATTAAAAATTAAATAAATTATAATATTCAATTCGCACAAAATTATATTTCATTTTAGACACGTCGTCCATGCATGCAATAGGTACAAAGTCAGATGCGATGCAATTTGATGCTCGACTGTGGCTGGGTTTGGGAAAATTCCTTCCTCAGCTCATCTAATGGTATCAAATTTCAATTACAAAACGCTCCTCTCGACTGCATTCAACGGGAGATGGTGTGATGGAATAAAATTGGTATAAAAGTGACATGACAAAGGTGACAATCCACAAAAAGGCCAAACAATTGCGTTGCCCCAGGAACAGGATTGGAAAACAGACAAAACGAAACAGGAGCACTTCACGTAAAAGGGAAAATTCATTAAGCGGCAAATTGGGAGGGTTGACGATTTCGTCACACTCGCAAATCCCCTCGACACAGTCCCATAAACCCAGATTTGTCACAGCCTCAACATTAACATCAGCACCCCAAACCATTATTATAACTTTAAATCCCTTCTGATTTTACTTTTATGTTATCAAACTGAGTCACAGGTGTCGAAGGTGATGACGGATTATGGCTACTTATTTAGGGCTTATACGAATTTTATTGTTTTCTTCACTTACTATATCATTTAAGGCTTTAATTATGATAAAAAGTTTAAAATAATATGTTTTTAGGTCCTTAAATTCAATATTAAACTTTTTAAAACAATGTTTGAGCTTATAAATACTTTATTTTAACTTAACTTATTTAACAGTAATGAAAACTATTTAAAGTTCCAAGCCAAAGCTCTTTTTTAAATAAACATTTTTTCGCATCCTCTTCAGTTGCCTAGCAACACCCTCTGCCGAGGTGTGCCTTCTAATTGACCGCAGTGAAAGGATTGAAATCTCAGCCGAACTAATTCCATTATTAAAATCACGTGTCAGGACTTAGGATCACATGCAAGCTGTCAGGCTAAATCAAACGAAGCTTCATTTTTTCTAATTTTTTTTTAAACTTTGTGGAAACGCGTCTTTGGTTCCCACACTATCGAGTTTAGCTGAGACAAGCTGAATTTCTCACTCAGTCGTCTGGTGTCTTTTTCTTAAATATTGCAAGCACATGAAAAGTATTTTAATAAACTTAAAATTGAAGGGAAAATAATAGTAGAAAATGTGAGATAAGAAATAGAAATATGAAATGAAATTAATATTGAAACTATTTTATGAGCATTTCTTATCTGATAAATTTAGTTCCCCTTAAAGTATTACTTAACATTCTGAGTTATAAGAAGCTATTCTAATCCTCACATCCTCCGCCACAAGTACTTCCTGGCTAATAATTTCTAAGTAAAGTAGCTCTCCTCACATTTCATCTTAGATCATCCAACATTATAATACCCCCCAAAAAATACCCAGAAAATGTACCCAAGCACTTTGCGATAATCTCAACTATTACTCAATTTTCCATACGAAGATCCTGCAAGTTTTTGTCATATTTTTGTATTTACTGGTAACTTCTTGCATAACCATTTGTGGCTGGCCAGCCCATCGTTTTTCAATGGTTTTCCATTGTACTCCTTTGTTCCCCCGTCGACACTCAACAAATTACTTAACTTCTCGCAAAAAGAGACACAAGACTCGAGGATATTTAGCAAACGTCATCATGGCCTAGTAAGTGAAGAACCTGACCGGTTAATCCCAGAATTCCAGTTTCGAGGACAGGAAAATAGAGCAGCCCAGAAAACAGCTTACCATCTGTAATCCCAAAATTCCCAACAAAGCGTTTTGCAAGGTGTCACCTTGTCGCTATCCTGTCTGCTCCCATTCATGAGAGGATTCCCTTATCGGCCTGTCGATCACACAATAATGGGCCAACCGAGGGATTATGTGTGGGAGAGTTTTGTTGTCTGGCGATGGCAAATGATTTTCGCACCTTTAGCCTGGAAATGTTTTGGGCATTGCGAGTAGGAAAACAAAGGTCTCTTTATAGAGACATCGTGGAATAATCCAATTAATACGATTTGGAAACATTACGTAGTTTTTAGTAAACATAAATAACATAATGATAAATATTATTAAAAAGGGGAAAACATTTTTGGAGACAAAACCAGACCATCGAATTAATCTTCTTCAGAACAAAAGCAAACCGGAAAATCATTCGAATTTTCCCCTGTCACTTAGTAACGCAAATCAATCATTACTTCGCGAGTTTCCATCGTTGATTTCAAACATATGCTGCGATACTAGCACAACCCAACAATTTCCCCAGCTAATTGGGCAGGCCGAGTGCCTATGAGTCCAATGTTTCATTCAGAACTGGGAAAGGGGTGCACTGTAAGTTGATCCTTAGTTGGCAACCAGCTCTCATTATTCTCATTAATGAAAGCTCCGCTGGGTGTTTCCTTTCTCTACTAAACCGATAAATAACAAAACTACAAGTTTTCCACTTAATACTCTTCAGCTATTTGTACACAGATATAGTACCTGCAGAAGATTTGAATATGATAATTGATAGCCGTGTTTACCTTCTGAATGGGAATTCCATTGAAAAATGGGGGAAATTTATCCAGAATGGTATCGAGATTGGCATCATTCTTGTAGATCAATTTTATTGATTGCCCTTTGCTAAATATAATGGAGTTCTTGGAAAAATTTCTGGTCAGCAATGAGAGAATGTGGAAGGATTCTAGGCAGTGTTGGTTCTGATAAAACTATTCTCTTTTAACTTTTTACAGATATTAGAATTACCAAAATATCTTATTTATTTTTAGCTATTATTCTATTCTTATAAATATATTATATATTTATATTGAGCTTTTAACAAAGTCCATTAAAAAGTCAAGAATTTCCTTTACTTTACCGTTAATAAAAATGGTTAAAAAGTACAAATTATTTTTAAAACGTATATTTTTATTTCAATCTAAAGTAAACTCTCTCTACCTATAAATCTTAAAAATCCTGTTTTTTTAACGCCTTTATTATCCTAAAATTTAAAACTAATTAACCATAGCCAAATGAAATTCCCGCGGGACACAATTAGTGTTTTTTATTTTTGGACATATGCTTTCCCTTGCCGCAAAATGAGCAAATAAATCATAAATGTTGCATTCAACGTAATTGAGCCCAAACTTACCCCTAAGTTTTCAATGGGGGCAGGGGTGTGTCACCATGACTACACTTCTGTGAAACAAGAAAAACAATGTAATCCGAGCTGGATTTTGAAATGTGCGTAATGTTGTGCATGGATTGCTGGTGAGGGTAGGGGAAGTTGGTGGAAAAACTAGTTGAAATTTTAGGGGTTGTAATGGCTCCGCCCTCTAAAGGAACGAATGGAATAGAATCATGAGATACAATTGTCAATGGAATTGGAACACTAAATGTCTTAAATAAGAAAATAAATAAGGTAATTCGTTTAAATAACGGATTTCCTGAGCTAAAAAGGAAAATTTCTCAAAATATTATTTATTTGTATTTTATATATTATTTATAACATAAAAAATAAAACAACAATATAGAACAATTTATTTAAAATTTAACAAAGTAACAGAACAAAAACAATACAATTTAAAATGAAGAACGCTAACTAATATCAAACTTCCTTGGTCTGCTTATGGATCTGGCGATAGTTGACATCCACCATTCGTAGACTATTTCCCACGGTGGCCAGAGGTTTCATAAAGTTATTCAGGGTATTGGCCACCGGTTCGAGGATATCCCTCACAGAACACAAGATATTATATAGGAAGATCAATGGAGGCTGAAGGTAACCATTGAAGAGCATAGTCAACAAGGGTTTCAATAGGTAATCCGAGGTCATGTCGAGAAGTCCAACGAACAAGGTATTCACCAGAGAGTACAAAACAAATCGGTAGCTCTGCAGAATGAAGGCCACCACAAAGGCCACGGCAATATGGAGCAATCCGAAGAGTTCTGCCCAAAAGTGGGTGGCATAGGTGGTGGCTCTATCCGCCAGGACAATGGCATTAATTTTCGGATGAGTATCGGTGGTACTTAGATAATCTGCACAACCATGCTCAAAGGGATAAATACCGATGCATGTGTGACGATTAGCTTCCTTGCGATTCCACTGCGGCTCCGGTAGGTCATCTAGAATAGCTTTCTGTGTCTGCGGCTGGCATTTGCACATATTGTCGAGAGATTCCACCAAACGGGCCAGGAAACCACTTTTTTGCTTCGTCTCCTGCGATGCCTTACGGGATTTCGAACGACTCTTTAATTTGGGAGCAGATCTTGTAGGTATAATCACATGTGGACGCCTCTTGGAGTATCGCTGGAACTCGATCCTCTGCGGCTTATGCTTCGACTGATTAAGTAGACTCTTATCTGGATCGGCGTGCATCTCATAGAGAGTATGTGGAGAGCTGGCAGAAGCCGTGGACTCGGTCATGTCGCCACCACCCATATCCTTGAACATATTGTATCGAGCTTGGCTGTTTTGATAAGCATCCGAATCACTGGACGAATTCATCCGTGGCAATATCTTCTTTAACGGCGATTGCATCTTGGCCGTTACACCTACATGGTTAACCTTGATCAGATTTGACTTAGAAGTGGAGCAGTGGGGATCGGTTGAATCGGACATTGGTAATCTAATGTTTTCAACTGACCTTTTCATATTCAACTGACTTGTGTTTTGAATGGTATACTTAGCTGTCATTTTAGCAGATGTGAGTTTGAGTTATAAAGAAATCATAATATTATGGAATATATAGAAGTTGGAAATATTCAAATTTCCCGGTTTGTGTCTCCAATATTTAAGATGTTTGTATATCTGGTATATTTTAATACGTCTTAGTATATTTCGGTAAGTACTTAAGGGTTTTTCTTTCCGGTCCACAAAAGGTCACTCTTGTTTAAGCGGAGCTATTCCGATTGGAAAAAAAACAACTGTAATTAGGGGCCATAATAATTTCATATAAAATCGCACACGCTTTTTTTTAGCTTAAATTAGAAAACAAAAAACAGCCGGAATGTTTGCCTCCGCATGGCGAAGCGTGGCCAACACAGTGGAGAACCAGTTGACCGCCACCTATTTTCGAGGTTCGTCAAGCAATCTGAAATTGCTAATGCGTTCCTGGCGGATTCTTCCACAAGCGGATTCCCCTGGTTTCGGAGCAATTCACAGGCGATTTCTGGCTGTGCCCGTCTGTTCAAGTCTCGTCAACCGTAATCTATCCGTACAAATGTGTTTAATCTAATCTCTATCCCACGCTGCGCTTCCATTTATCGTTGCTTTTTGTTTGTTGCCATGTTTACCCCTTTTGATTTTTGTCAATCTGAATGTCAAATATTATCTTATTTCAGTGCAAAAACTGCGCAAAGTGGGATTTAGAGGCATGCACAGCACTTTGGAGGACGTTAAACTGGAGGGCATGGAGATTAAAATCCTTCCGGCTCTTCAAGACAACTATATGTATCTGATTGTGGATACAAAGACACGTGAGGCGGCCGTCGTTGATCCCGTGGAACCAGAACTGGTTATCAAGACAGTGCAAGAGGAGAAACTGACTCTAAACAAGGTGCTAACCACACATCATCACTGGGATCACGCTGGAGGTAACGAGAAATTGGTCAAACTGTGGGATAAGCAACTGGACGTTTATGGTGGCGATGATAGGATTGGTGCCTTGAACCAGAAGGTTCAGCAGGACGACACCTTCACCATTGGTAGCCTGAATGTCAAGTGTTTGTCCACTCCTTGTCACACCACTGGGCACATTTGCTACCATGTTACGTCACAAGAGGGAAGTGGTGAGGGAGCTGTCTTCACCGGTGATACACTTTTCCAGGGCGGCTGTGGGCGTTTCTTTGAGGGTACTCCCGAGGAAATGTACGAGGCCCTCTGCACCAAACTCTCCGCCCTGCCGGACACCACAAAAGTCTTCTGTGGCCATGAGTACACTTTGCAGAACATGAGCTTCGCACGTCACGTAGAGCCGGACAATGAAGTCATCCAGCAGAGGATCGAGTGGGCCAAGCACCGTCGAGCCGCCCAGGATCCCACAGTTCCATCGACCATTGGCGAGGAAAAGTCCTGGAATCCCTTTATGCGCGTCCACGAAGCCACAGTACAAAAGCACGCCGGCGGAGCCACCGATCCAATTATCACCATGGGCAAGCTGCGCAAGGAGAAGGACACTTTCAAGGCCTAAAAACTTCTTTAATTTATATGGAATGATGTGATTTATTATTGGATTTAAAGGTTAATAAAATTAACGGTATTTTTGAAATTTATATGATGTTTTAGAAAAGAAAAAAAATAAATAGGGAAATTTCGTCAATTTTAAATTTTTATTTACAATAACTAATATATTCAAACTTTAACGGTATTTTTTAGTATTCACCGATTGGGCAAACAATAAAATTTGAAAAGGAAAACTAAGAGTAGTATTTTTATGGATGTTTTGTCAACAATCTGGCAACACTGTTTAGCCATTCACACAGAAGTGGCGGCGTCTGTCCAATGAGATTTTAAACTAAAAACAAATTAACAGCGCGATGAATCCAAACAATCGGAGGAGTTCCGTGGGTGTTTTAAATTAAAATTAATTACTTGAACAACCTTATATGCAAATATTCATATTTTCAGTTGCGAAAGGTGCCTTTGAAAGATGATGATACGACATCTTCAACGACTAAACAACAAATCAAACGACGCATCAGTTTTTGTGGCAAGAAATCCGTGAGGTAAGTACAGTATGGGAATCCAACCCCCGCATATCATATTCATAGCGTATATCTACTCCATTTAGGGAATTTGTCAACACCAAAGAGACAAACAACTGGGACGACTCGTACGAGGTATCCGAACACAACGCGGAGGACAGTACCGGAGCAGCAGGAGCAGGATCACTTCTAAAACATCCAGAACATGCTAACAAGGAGAACGTGCCCTTGGGCAGCCTCTGTGAGCGGGAGCTGGTCGACCTGTCCCTGAACCTCCAGACCAGTGTGGATGTTACCATGTTGCCCTGTGAACTGATGGATAAATCCAGAAAGGGCTCCTCCTCCTTTGTTTCCATATCTTTGTCCTCCGAGGAACGAAAAGTTTTGCAAAGCAGTATTTATGATCGCCGGATGATGGACAAAACCATGGATCTGATGTCAGGAACTTTGGTAAACCGCATGCAAATGCCCTCCAGCGTTTGTGAGGATCCCTCTTCCGAATTGACAGGAAAAAGGGTAAATACCCCAGTAGTCAAAGCTATAAGTGACTCCTTCATGGATATCTCGCCAATGGGATGCATTGGCACGGCTCCTGCTCCTGCTCCTGCTCCTGCTCCTGCCCCCGCTGTTCCTACTCCTGTCGTTCATGTTTCTGTTTCTGCTCCGGCTCCATTATCAGCTCCTCAAGCTGCAGTTCAACAGAGCTTTATGGATCTGGAAGACGACAGCCTTATGAGGGAAATGCGCGAGTTTAGCAAAAAGGATTATAAAATTCCCGCACAGAAATCGCTTTTCATGGATATTGAAGAAGTTGAAAAAGAAAAAAAGAATAAAACTCAACATGATGCCGTAGATATATCCTTCGGCTGTCCTTTAAACGGTTTGTTTTTGAAGATTTTCCGTTTTGAAATATTTAATTTCCAAATGATATTTTACCTTTCAGTTACTGAGCCGCAGTCGCCATCGAACTCCTTTGAGAGCAACAATAGTACCATCAACTTTATGAAAGATGAGTCTATGCTGATCCCCTTCGACATGATTTCGGGAAAAAACATAAGCAAGAAACTAAATTTTCGTCAATTGAATGATGAGTTGGAGGCGGGAAAGATTCAGCTTTTTCCGAATGGTCCAAAAACACCAACAACAGATCGTAAGACCAAGCAAAATCGTTTTTGGCGTGGTCTTGAAGATGAACCCACCGAAGATAATAGTCCAAGGCGAGATATAAGAAGCATTAAACCAAGAGGTACGCTAAATTTCAGTGAGAATATGACCATGTCGCCGGCGCAATTAAGTCCAGTTCAAAAAGATAAGGATAATAATAATAAACTAAAGGTTGATGATAAGCATAAATATCGACTCTCCCAGGCGGATGAGATGATGCTGAACAATACAAACTTCTTGGCTCATGCGAAATTAGGCGATGAGACCCAGTCCAGAAACACCTCGAAGAACTCTACGAGACGGGAAACAACTTACGAAAATTCTGAATTGAATTTGGAATATCCTACCAATAGTCAAGACTTTCAACTCGTGCCGAGCTCCAAGCCTCGACAGACTATTAATGTTGCTGAGGAAATACAGCATGATGAGTTTGATTGCTCTGCAATTCCGAAACCAAAAACCGTTCCCACTCGTCGTACGCTGTATCTCAATGAATCCATGGATCAGGAAACGACGAAGTCAGTTCATACGAGGAGGGAGATTTCGGTGACGACAGAGGAGATTGTCTACGAAAAATCCACAGTTCAACAGCAGAACACCAATAAGAAAGACGCAGTCCTGGCCTGCACTAAAACCAAGCGAAGGGAGACTCTTCTAATGCAGGAAAGCATAGAAGAGGACATCATTAGTCCTCTCAAGGATTTACATTTAAAACCCAATGCTTATATCGGTGAAATGGGAAAAACCAAAACTAATCACACTCTGCATTCAGTAGTTCCTCTGGAAGAAGAGAAAGAAAACCTGTTTCCTGTACAAAATATGGAACCTACAGAAATCAAATGCAAAACAAGGAAAACTATACTTTTAGAGGAACCTATGGAAGAGGAAATATCCAGCTACGTGCAAGATGGACATGTTTTGACTAACAAAAGTAAAACACTCCACTTACCAGAACTTTCAAAGGAGCAGAAAGACATCCCAAATAAATCTTTGTCCGCCATAATGACAAAGAAAAAGACACGACAAACCCTACTATTGGCGGAGCCCATGGAGGAGGAAGTGTTTGATAATATAGAAGGTCCACCAGTTTGCGATTCAAAAAGAAAAACTCTTTATTTGTCAGAACCTCTGGAAGAGGAGGCAGTAAGTTCAACTAAGAGCATCTTGCCGGATGAAGTAAAAAGATCTAAAGCTAGGCAAACTCTCCTAATGGAGGAACCCATTGAAGAGGAATTAGGATGTAATATACAAGATTCAGAAATGAATAACACGAATAGGAAAGGAATATTAGAGGGGCCCCTAAGTTTCAGCAACAAATCCAGAAAAACATTGACTATGTCTGAACCCATTGAGGAGGATAACTATGTTCCGCAACCCAAAAGTAAATCAGTAGTAATGCAGAAAACTATTGATAGGTCAACTGCTCCGCAACAACAGAAATCAAGGCACACTCTACTGATATCTGAGCCAATTGAAGAAGAACAGGCTGCACCCAATCAATACCATGAACGGACTCGTTTGAAACCGAGAAACACTCTTCATATGGAGGAAAGCATTCAGGAAGACGTAACATCCAAAAAGTTTGATAATCCCATTGGACAGCAAAAACTTAAGTCAAGGCAGACGCTCGTCATGTCAGAGCCCATTGAAGAAGATATACAACTGCCAGGACTTAAGTCATTTAACATAACCGTTGAAAATGAGTTTGTGGATAACGTGCAACCTAAAAAGCCAACGTCTTCGACTGCCAAAGCGAGACATACTCTCCTGATGTCAGAACCAATAGCTGAAGATATGTGGGAGCTGCAACCTGTTGATCAAACTAAGGAACAGCTCAACGAAGTGGTGACTAAAAGTTCATCTTCTAGGTCCCTAAGATCAAGGTCAACTCTTTTGATGTCGGAACCCATTGAAGAAGAGGTCTATAAACCTAATGCTAACAAAAATGATCAGACTCATCAGGCAAGTCGACTCACGGCAGAATCTAAAGAAGTGGAGTTGCCAAAGTCTGTGGCCTATAAAAGTCATAGATCTAATTTGATGTCCAATTACACTGGGTTTATGGAAGAATCTATTGTTGAAATGGAGACGGAAAAAGTTTCCCAGCCACGCAAAGCTCGCCAAACTATACTTGCGGCTGAACCCATAGAAGAAGATGTTGACTGCTATAACAATTTGTTAGATCATACAAAACATAACCCCTTTTTTACGAACAAAAGCATCAACTATGACGATGAATCTATGAAAAACGTAGCCACAAAAAGAAATGACAAACCCAGGCGCCAGACGTTGATCAGTGCTGAACCAATAGAAGAGGATTTGGAGTTCCGTAAAAACTCCGTGGAAAACTCCTATAAAAATACTGAACAAATACCTGGACATCGATCTTTCAAATCGAGACATACTCTTCTTATGGCAGAGCCTATAGAAGAAGATTCTGGACATGAACCCATTCAGAACGATTTGAGAGACAAAATAGTGGAAAATTCAGCTGGTCCGCAGAGATTCAAGAACAGACAGACGCTCATTATGACAGAACCTATAGAGGAAGACATGAGTGTGTCTGAAAAATCGAGATATAATATAAATGTAACCCATTCTAGTGGGTATAGGACTTCCAAGTCCAGAAAAACTCTGCATGATCCGGAACCCATTGAGGAGGATGATATCCCAGAAGATTACAATGCAGAATACAAAGCTGTGGCCAAGTCTAGAAATACTATACTTTCGACGGAAATCATTGAGGAAGACGAAGCCGTACCACCTACTAAGAATTCTGAAAATACAATGAGTTTACCAGAGCCCATTGCAGCAGAGTTATCACGAAAACTAGGAACTACTCTTCGCCGCACACAACCCATCGATAATGATTTGTCGTCCTCAGAACAAGTTTATCATAAGAAGGTCGCGAGTCCTACAGCTCCGATCAGCAAAATACGTACTATGCTCTTGTCAGAACCCATGGAAGAGGATGACCAAATCACTGCACAAGATTATCCCACAAATGTGGGACAAATATCAAAAAAATCAAAAGGAGCGTCACCTAGCCATGAAACTATACTGATTTCTGAGTCAATGGACTTTCAAAGTCCTCAATGCATATCAAAGGGTGCGGATAACAATGCAATCACCCCAATGGCCAATAGTAAGGTATTATCAAGAATTAAAGAAATGACCAACTACACGCCCAGAGTTTCCTTGACTGAGTTCGAGGATCAGGAGGAGATGTGCATGACATCGATGCAGGAAAAAAGCAAAAACCCGAAGTTACAAAGAAAAAAATTGTCCACATACCAGCCAGTGCAGATAGAACTTGATGCAGACACCTCTAGTATTGGTACTCCAATACGTCTCCTCCAGATGAAGCGATTGCCCTCACATCTGACACCCAATCTGCCAGAATCGAAAAAACGGCATACACTTATCTTTGCGGATAGCAGCAATGATATGGAAATGGATGAAGAGCAAGAGGTTGCGTCCGCGATGACAAATAAATCCCGTAGGACCTTCACGGTAGATCAAATGGATGCATCGGTGCAACCCCTAAGAGATTATCGTCCTCCAGTGGCTGAGTTGACTAAAATGAGCTCAATGGATATTCCAGCATTCCCGCGAAAGTCGGTGTATGACAATGAACTGGAGGAGAAGCCCATAACTATTTCAGATGTAACCGAGTACTTCGAGCAGCAAAAGGAGGAGCAGCGAAGGTCCAGCGAAAGGCAGAGCGGGAGCTCCAATGAGCGAACTTTTAAGAGCTACGCCGCTACGAACTCCAAATTCATTAATCTGACCGGGAACACCACTATCTTTGCTTACGCAGAAAATTTGGATGTAGAGGGAAAGGAGGACAATCAAATCGACAACGAACGGCTCAGTTTGGTTTCCACGCTGGCCGAGGAAACGGATAACGATGAGGATGAGGAAGCTGTAGATCAAGAAGACCATCAACCAAAACCTGAACTCTGTGAGGGCCAGCAGAATTCCATTGTTATTGCCGGCACCAGCGGCTCCTGCAAGAAGTGCGCAAATTGCAATCAATCCATGAGCGAAACGAAGCTAAGTAGCGATTCCTTTGTCCTGCCACAACATAAACTGTGGGACTTCTCAAGACAACACAGGCGGTTGCGCATTATTAGGCAGAAACCCACTTGGAAGGAGGTAAACCTGTACTGGGATATGGAGGAACAGTCTAGGCTTTCCAAGTGCCAGGAGCCTGACGATTCGATGGATCAGACAAAAGTCGAGGAAGAACAGAAATCGTGGAACAAAACGGCGCTCCTTGAGCTGTGCAAAATGTAAGAACGAATTATCTAAACATTTTCATTTCGAAACATTTTCTAAAATATATTTTATTTGTATCTTATTTAGACGAATTGGTCGACAAAGGCCCATTGTAAAGCCTACGGAATCCTTCTTTAAAAAACTAAAACGCTTGCTGGCCGAACAGCAGCCACACTGGATCTTTGACTTCCAGCGCAAAGTCTCACAGCAATTGATATTTTACCACCGCCTTCTGACCATGTTTAGAATTGTGGTCAACTACAAAATCGTCGACCAGGTGGATGAGACAACAATTAGCGTGTCCTCCATTGAATTAGACAATGAGGTGGCCATTGCAAAGGAACAATGGTCATCCCGTGACCACTTTTTAAACTTCCAACTCGGTCTCAGACTGCCTTTGAATCTCACTGACTCGATTGAAGGCAGCGACGAGTCAGCTTTTCTGAAATTCCTCAACCGTATTGATCAGAGTATTGTAGATATCAAAGAACAGTTTAACAAACTTCTATCCATTCTAACGGAGAAGAGGGCGAGACTACTTAGGTAAGTCAATGTGTAAATGCAATTTCTAACATTTGGTTATAAGCCTAAGCTTAATTTTCAGGGAAGCAAATCGAACTATTGTAAGAAAGATCATACGGAAGTGCATTGAGGACGAACCTCTTGTGCGTCTCGAGAGGACCAGTTTTGTGATTGAAATTGCCAACATCAGGGACGTCTCTTTCAGAGATATCTTACGCCCTGAACTGCATCACTTCAATGAAAATATTCAGTATCTGCCGAAGGGACTTGCTTTCCTGGAAGCATTTCTTACTGACCCCGAACAGTACCTTAAAACATAATTTGTAAATTTAAATTTTACTTATTTAACAACATGTATAGATTAAAAACTTATCTTATTTTAATCCAATTTGAATTTAAAATTGCTTAAAGGGTTGGTATGAGGGAAAAATTAAATTGTTTTCCTTTTAATTCTCAAAGTAATCAGCAAGGAAAACTATCATTAAACTTTGATAACCTAGAAAAATCCCAAAGTATAACAATAAAATGAACCAAATTAAGGATAATTTCTGAATTTTAGTTTACTCGCTTCTCGTACTCGTTTACAATAATTAAAATAATAATAAAAACTTAAAAATAATTTAGTTTCCTCTTGCGTGGCTGCTGAAAATTCGTTTCTTTCATCCGGATCACTTGGAAGCTGGAACTAGTTGAGTGCGTGTTTGTTTGCTTTTGTTTGTTTATGTTTATTTCACGAAGACAACACAGACATATTAAGATCCAAAATATATATATATGTTTTTAATATATATATTCATATATATACTATATATATATATGCATGTTATGTATTTAGGGTTTGTGTTTTGAGTGGTTTTTGTGGCTTTCTGCCTGCTGACTTATTAGCCAAATGGAGATGGATTCGTGTGAGTGAGTATGTGTGGTGTTCCTTGTTTTGTGTAAGTGTATGTGTGACGTCATTCGAGGGTGGAAAGTGGAGGCCTATGTGACCTCCAGTTTAGACGCGCGACAATTGCTGCAGAAAATTACACGGCCAGAACGCCTCGATGCGCTCCTTGAGCAACTGAAACGGATACGAAATCCAGGTAAGTACGGTCTGTGCCAAATGGCCCATTGGCTCCGGATACTGGTGGGTGGCCAAGGCCAGCAGGGCGGTAATGGAGCACAGTCCCGCCGTGAACAGGATGAAGAAGGGCAGCTCCTTCTTGGGATAAACAGAGACCTCGTGGAACGCCGGCAGCAATTCGCGATCCGCGCACTCTGTGCATGTGGGATATGGATAGAAGAGATGGCCGCGTTCCAGTGGATATGGTAGCATGCGAAACGTGCCCTCCCAAGTGCAGTGCAGTAAATTCAGGGCTCCTTCTACCTGCTTCCAGTGCTTCAAATGGAAGAATGCGTAGGCCAGTGCCTCAGAATCGCCTCGCTTTAGAATGTGCTCTGGCGGCAAAATTAGACGCTTTGTCTCCAGCAGATACTTGGGCACATGCGGATTGAACTCCACCGCCCGATGAATGGCTTCTACGGCGCTCATTTCTGCAGGGCTGAGACCTCGCTTGGAGGCAATGTCCGGCGAGAACTTATCGGCGACGGCCCGCGCCTTTAGTAAAGCTGCTGTATAGCAGATGGTCGCCGATTTGGGCAGCGAGATGTCGTCGTACTTGGCCAGAATGGTATGGCAATCGGCATAAGCCTGCATCTCTAACAGCGTTTCAATTAGGTTCTCGTGTATGTTCAGTACACTCATGATTGAAGGTATCTCTTTGGTGAGATCGCGAAACATCTTGGCCGCCTCCTTCAGCTTGCCTAGCTTACGGGCGCACATGGCCAGACGCCGTTTTATGTAGATTAGCACATTAGTGTCCCGCCGATGCATTCCATCTGCTATGGCGCCTTGATGCTGGGTTGCTTGTGATTTACGGTAATTTATCTCAGCCACCTTTAGAGCTGTCTTTAGGATTTTCTCGGCCTCCATAATGGTCATGGCCTCCTCTTCGGCAAGCAATATATAGGCAGCCGCACACTCTGCATTGATTTCTAGCGCACTGTGTGCCGACTTTATACGTTGCATGGGATTACGTTCGCGCCAGGCCGTCTGCATGATTTCGTACTCCTCCTTGCGGGCATCGCCCTCGCAGGTGAAGAATGTCTGATGGTCCTGAGCACTTAAGTTCATGTCGTAGTAGGTCAACGGTTCCTTGCTGGTGGCCCAAAAAAATCTCTGATACTCGGCGCCTCGAAATAGATTGAGGGGATTCCGCCAGACCTTACATTCCGGCATTTGCGTGCCTGTACTGGTTGTCGCACCGCCTCCGGCCGATGTACCTGCTCCTCCTGATCCTCCTCCGCCTGCTCCACCATTGCTACTGCTGCTGGAACCACTGCTGCTGCTACTCCCGCTCCCATTGCTCGACTCTGATTGGCCATCGCTTCCATTAATCCAGGGGCTAATGTGGTTAATGGAAACTTGCTCTGCGGAACAAAATAATCGAAATGAGTTGGAGTGACGTGGGGATGGAGAAGGCACTACTCACCTATAAACGAAGTGCCATACTTGCGGAAATACCACCACTCGAAGATCAAGATCAGACCCGAAATAAGGCTGGAGGTTCCTGTGAGCGCCACGTAGAACTTAGGCGTCAGCGTGCTGAGAAACATGGACGAGTCCCACATCCTGCTGCCTGCTGCCCCCTGCCTGCGAAGTTCTGTATTCGACGCTCGCTTCGCTTTTGCCCCTGCTCCGTCCGGATTTTGCCGCTTGCCGGGATTTACTAGTGCCTACGGGTCTGCGGATACTCTGTGCACTTGCACTGACCGCCGCCGAGGGGTTAGATCAATTAACGGTTGCCTTTCTTGGCGCAATCCTTGCGCGAATCCTTGCTGCAGATGAGACTTTTTTCCATCAAGTATTCGAAAGGGGGGTGAGCGGGGGTTGTGTTTTCGGCCGGTGTGACCAGGCAGCACGTGTAAATACCAGCGCAGCGTGACCGTTGTTAGCACCTTGGGAATATTACCGTGACTGAGTGTCACTTTTGCTTGCTTGGCGGAAAACAATGTGCCAAGTGTTTTTAACTTAACTCAACAAGATAATCATTTTATGAACAGATTCTTCGAAAATACATCATGCCAAAATGAATTATATATAAAAATAAACTATTAAAATTCGGTTATTTAGAGCTATTTCCAACGATTAATTGTTGGCATGCAAGGAAAGCAATTAAAAAAAACTATTAAAATTCGGTTATTAAGAGCTATGTCCAACGATTAATTGTTGGCATGCAAGGAAAGCAAATCAAAAAATTAGTTTGAATTATATTTTGTAAATAAGTTTTTTTCGGAAAAAGGTGCTATGTGTTTCTAAACTATTTTTGTATAATATAATTCATTATTTATAACTAGCTATTTTTCAATCACAGATAAATCTATCGATAGGTCCTAAAATGCTCACCACTAAAAATGGCCGCTTTGCAGCAAGTGCACTTTTTTTTGTACTAAAGTAATTCAATAAAAACGAGCGCGAATAGTCCCAATTTGAAGCTCCTGTTGAACGGAAAGGCATTAAAGGGCAGTGGAATCATGGAGCAGGTGACGGACACCAACGTGCAATCGCCGAATCCAATCCAAACGGAGGAATCACCTCAGGTAGAAGAGGAAAAATCGGAGAGCTTAGAACCAAAAGCAGCGGCGTTGGATACGCTTCCAAAAAGTGCGGGTTCCACTGATTTGGAGAATGAGCTGGCAAATCTTAATGGATCGGACGGGGGCGCCGGTCTGGATGAACTGAGCTCATTGGAGCAGGAGATAGCTAAGCTGCATAACATCCGACCACCAGATGCGGTCACCGAAGCTGCAGATACCGCTACTCCGAGTGACGGAACGGATAATGGTGGCTCAGAGACCCGCCTAGCCTGTGAAGACCCGACCAGTGGATCCCCAACCGTCGAAGATGGCCATGGGACATCAGGAAACGGTCAGGCTAAAGAATCCCCCCTAGAGGAGGTGGATCTAATTGCCTTGCTCAAGGGCACGGACACCAGTCATGAGCAGCATTCTACTCAGGATAAATCCGCCTTGGAGAAGGCTCTCTCTGAGTTGGACGGTATAGCGGGAGAAGGGGATATGGGTGTTACCATCGAGGGCGAAGGGCAGTTCGAGATCATTGAAATAGACGACGACGAGGAGTCAACCTCACGGAAAGCCAGTCCGAAAGTGCCAGTGTCTAAGCCCAGCAAGCCTAAGGCATCCACCACGGCTTCTATATCCAAGCATAAGCTGTCCCCGGAGCAAGCCAGAGCTGTGGCCCTGGAACAGATGGCTGGCCTAAAGCCCAAGTCACGACGCAAAGAGCCGCCGCCTGTTGTCAAGCCGGTAGATATTGTCAGCTCATTAAATGAGGATTGGGACGACTACGACTCTGAGGAAGACAACCCCACATCCGCCATATCTAATTCTGCAGTGGTGACGGAAGTGCCTCCAACACAATTGGTCATCAAAAAGCCACCTTTGCCTGTAAAAAAGGCACCATCTCCTGTTAAAGCCAGTCTGAAATCTCCAATTTTGCTCAACAACAAGATCAGCGGGGTTAAAGTAATGCTGAAAACTGTCACCCAGAAGCAACTTACGGCCACCACAAGTCAAGTTGTAGAAAATCCCAAGCCTGCAGTCGTTATGTCTACTCCCAATGAAACCGAAGAGCCTACCATGGGTACAGTAAAACCAGTAACTACTGTGAGTAAACACCTTTTAATAAACTCCATTTGTAGGATTCAAACGCATGCGTGTGGTCAAGAAGAAGATAATATGGGATCCGGATGTACCCGAGACTAAAAAATCATTTTCGCAGTATGCCAGCACGAAACCGAATGTTAAGGCATCTTCTCCTGTACCTCCTGCATCAAAAACGATTGTAAAGAGCATTTCTCCGAACCAAACAATTAAGAAAGATTTGTTACCAAAAAAAAGGGCTGCAACACCTACAGCAAGGAGCTCTAAAGCCAGCACACCAGTTGGTGAAACAGAAAGGAGTCTCTCCCCGGTCAAGCGACGCGCTCAAACGCCAAGTTCGGGTTTGGCGAATGGAGGAGTCCAGAAAAAGAAGAAGGTCTCTGAAATCGATCGTTTAATGGGCGACGAGGGAGCGGCCAATATGATCCATGCAGTGGAGCATGAGCAGCGGGAGATGAGTGGCGGTGAGGTTTCTAATAAGCCGCTAATGCGCAAACGAGCCATGACCATAACCGGAAGGGTGAGTACTTCTTTTAGAAACTTTAAATATAAACAAATATGTGTTTAATATTTATTATTCCCAACACTAGAATCAGACACCCCGTGCAGTAGGGGAACCATCGACGCCCAAAAAAGAGACTGTACTTTCGGCCACCAAACGATCGGCTACCGCTGTAGATTCTGTTTTCACGAAGGCCAACGCTAACACATCCGCTAGCAAGCCCCGCCCATCCGACTCCTGGGACTATGTGTACAAGCAACGCGCTAGCGAGGAATCTATGATCATGCGTCGTCGCTCCAACAGTTCCTACTCCAGCAACGCATCCGTTAGTCGTAATTCTCTTGACAATAAGCCTGGAGCGTCTAATCTGTCAGATGATGCAGCCGAAGGAAATGATCCTTCCTTTAAGTTCCTAAAGCCTGTAAACAAGACAAACCAAAGGGGCGGCGAGGATGCCTTGCTGCACACGCTGGCCAATGATATGAAGGTAAACCATGGCAGCGATTTGGTAGTTCTGCGTAAGGTTAACAAGGTTGCTCATCTGGAGATCCACGCACATCGTGGTAAGTCCGGTCATACGTACAGTAGGCAGCTGCTAGAGCAGTTGAACGACACGCTGTCCAGTATAGCCCGTAAAAGTGAGTTCAATACCGTGTTGCTGACCGCTGAGGGTTCGCAGTTTTGCCAAGGTATCGATTGCCAGGAATTTGTGCAGGGTTCGATAGAGAAGCGTAAGGAAAAAGCTAGTCAGATGTCCCTTGCACTGAAGTACGTAAAAATTATTTAAATCGTAAATCATGGGTTAATCAATAAACACATCCAATTTCAGAACCTATTTGCGTACGTTGGCTACATTTCCTAAGCCCTTGGTGGCGGGCATTGTTGGCAACCTGATTAATCTGGGCGTTATGCAGCTGCCTTTTGCAGATTATGTGGTGGCCGCCGATGATTGTTGCTTTCAGACTAACTATGCCAAGTTGGGCCAACTGCCCGAAGGTTATGCTCTGTGGCACGGCCACGAAAAGGTGTCCAGTGAAGTAGTAAGTCTCCACGATCCTATTGAAAACTTATGAAACTAAATTCTATTTGTATCTTCTTCAGAATTCACGATTGATTCTCCTGGGTGAAAGACTGTACGCATCGGAACTTTTGGGGCCACAAAGTTTCGTTGGCAAAATCTGCAAGGCCCGCAATGTCACTAATGAGGCTCTAGCCATAGCCAAACAAATATCCACTAGCTCTGCGGAGGTAAGTCCAATCTTTGAGTTATTTCACAGTAATGAACTAATATCCTTTGTTTTTCAGATGTATCGCACGCTGAAAAAAATCAACCATTCAGTCACCAATGCGGTAAAATTCCCGCGACTGGATGAGGAACTGAAAGTAATAGGGGAGCAATGGCTAACTCCCAGTTGCTTGGCTAATTTCAAAACGTATATTAATGACGTGGATTTTAGAGTATAGTTTAAGAACTACTGTATACCATGTGCAATGGTAGGTAAATTTACATATACAAATCTTTAACAAATCAAATCATACATTTAGTTAAATCCTCTGATTTATTCTGGACTGTTCAGCCTAGGAATTTTTTACACACCAACACATATATTTTGTTAAGAATTGGAGTTCTGTGAATTGCATGGAAACTTAAATCAGAGGTAATATTAGATTCTGTTAGATAAGAGTTCAAAAATAAACGTAATTGTATCGGGAATTAGTGTACTAAATCATAAGGATATCTTGATGACTTTTGGATAAGTTTTTGAATCCTGAATCATCTTCGCGACCTATTTGAAGCCCCTCCATTGGGCTCTTAACAAGCCAACCCTCGGAACATTTTATGTTAAATCAATTATTGATCTATAAGAACTTTATGCAATACAATATGTGTAATATGATGAAAACTGTTAAGTATCAATAAATGTAAAATAAGAGATCTTAAAAATGTTAAAAACTAACAAAGGACCAAAATTTTCTGGAATTATTTCAAGAACATACATGTACGTATTTAATGTATTCTGATTTATTATGGGAGGCTAGAAAAGGTTTTTAATAATGTACAATGTAATGCATGCAACTAGATTAAACTGCTATTCATGTTCAACAGCACACTTCCGGCTGGTTAAATGCACTATATTACCCTACTCTGATTATGATGCTGATCTGGATGATCGCCTAGTTGTGCTTGTCAACCTCATAGTAGGCAGGAAGCTCTGCCTGAAGGCGTAACAATCGCACGTAGGTTAGCAATTTCCACTCGCTAAGCGGTTGATCTTCGGGATGCACAAATGTAGACATGTACGTGACCAACTCCTGAGATCCGTCTTGATCCAAGTCGGCAATAAGCATCGAGTTATCCTGGTTATTAAGATCCGGTTGACATACCACCTCCTTGCGGTCGTGGCGGCAAAACTGGATGATATCGCTCTGTGAAGTGTTCTCGATGTGAGTATCTGCGCCTACGAACACCACAAGGATCACGGTCTCTGTGATCATATTCATTTTGTAGCTACCACCAGGTGCAATTCCTGTGGACTTGGTTAGGTTTTTAGAGGGCAATCCGAACGTTTCCCGCTTTTGCTTTATGTGATTAAAAACATCAAACTCCTGGTGATGCAATGGAAACTCGTAATCCTTGGCTTTCGTACTCCTCCTCAGACGTTGATGCTGCTGTTGTTTCTTAGCCTGAGCTTTCTCCTTATCCTTGATTGCATTCATGTTCTTGGTGTGATTGTTGCTTCCACTTTTTTGAACATTATTGTTATTGCTGCTGGCAGAGGTCTGTTTTGATGGCTTGGTGAGACCATGCCACTTCCAGAACTTCATCACGAATCCGGACATCTGCGACTTGGTGTTCTTGAAGTGCCACTGGGCTGGAGACATGCCAAACATTCCGCTTTTGGTAAAATTATACACAACATGGGGCTTGCCATCGCGGACTTCACTTAGGACAAAGGTAACATTACAATCCTCAGGACAGCGTCCACGATTCTCTACCACCAGCTCGCGACCACTCAACGAAAAGATATTCCTTTGGGCATCCAATTCCCGTCGCTGGCCATGATTTCTGTGCTGGGAGATTTTCGAGCTGGCTAGTCTCTGACCCACAATCGATTTGTTGGTTATTAGGGCGTACAGCTCCGCTAGACTCTTGGAGCGCTGCTGTTCAGTGCCATTGACACGCTGACAGATGAAGCTTACATTGCCCGCCTCGATCCTCACGTTGCTTACCCTATCGCAGTCGTGGATGCGGAAGCCATCACCTATCGGTGAACCTTTTTTGCCCGAAAGGAAACGCAACACATTGCGTGCTTCTAGTTGTCCTGCTGATTCATGATTCACCTGGGCTAGCGATTTGGTACGTTGTTCCAGAGACAGACTCGTCACGAGCAGGAGGTCGAGCACTCCATCCGCATCCAGATCAGGCAGGATGACTGGAAAGTCGTAGGCATCAACCTTGCTAGCTGAACGTTCCTTAAACCACCAAAGCCATTCTCCTGAGACGGGATGTATGGCTCCCAGTTCCCCATACTCATCGAGAACTAAGCACTCTGATTTCCCATTGCCATCTATGTCTATTAGAGTGCAGTCCAAGGCCACGGGTTCATCCACCATCTCCACAAACCAGGCTACTGCACCTGAGGAGCCAATCAAACAGATAATGCCATTGCGCCGCTCATTGCCAGGCCGAAATTCAGGAAAGAAGGCATCGCCGCGATACATGAAGATTAGGTTGTTCTCCCAGGCCTTTAAGCCTCCAACCACATTAACACCCCCTTTGAGTTCCGCCTTGGTGTAGTTATTAAACCAATTGCGTGTCTTGGCACGATCTCCAATGGCTGGACAGGATCCTGTGCCATCGGGATTGCCACAAGGGACTAGCCACACAAACGATACGATGGCGAAAAAGCATAGTAGCAAGCTACCTATAAAGCAGCATTTTCTTGCCGGTGACATCGGTGTCCTTTTGGCTGAATCTTCTCCCGTCTGACTGCCACCCAGAATGGCCACATTATCGGCATTAGAATCGAATTCGCTATTGAAGTGAGATAACTCCGAACCCACTACACCATTATCGCTCAACATGACGGAACGAAAAGTATTTTGCATGTTGGTTGCGTAGCTACTGCCCTCCAATTGGAATTTCTGGGGATTTGCGGCAGGATTTCGCGTGACAATCCTAGTGGCGGTGGGTGCTCGAGTATGTGGTGATTTCAAGGCTAGAGTATTCGGAGGAATGCGTATTCTTTGGGCCTGAAGGTGTTCCTGCGGAATATGCTGATGAGTTCTTTGCAATTTCTGGCGATGATTGGCGGCGTTATGAATCTCAATCTCCTCGTCGGATTCAGAATCGCTCATTGCCTGACTTAACGGAGCATAGATGCCCTGGTGGCCAGCGGTGGGCAGGGTTTCGGTGTGTAGCATTTTAGCTGCAAGAAATCAGGAGAAAAATCAATACCTTCCAGCCAAACCCAAAGGCAAATAAATAGAAATAGTGGGAAATCCATGGTAAACCCACCTCCGATGATTGGCTCAAACACGCTTTGGCATCTAACATCCACATAGCTACTGCTTTTGATCTTTATTGGATTAGGCGAAACATTAATTCCAACGTACAAAAACACCCTTCGAAAAAGCTTTTCTAACAGTAATTTAAATTTACTTGGATGCCATTCACAATTGTGATGTTTTTATCGATAATAGTGTTGCTTAACACCATATTACAATTAAAACTTATCGATAAGTGCGTGACCAACTGAGACGCCCACCACTACATGCAGCCAAAAAAAAACAACGTTTTACGTGCGTGAAAATTAGTTAAGTTTTTATGAAAAAAACCTAGTTGGGCGATATTTAGAAAGTCATTTGGCAATCCATATGCTGCGGGGGCGTGCGGGGCAAAGGGCTTTAATCTGCAGGACAGGCCAAAAAGGTCCAGAATCGTGATTTTTGCGAAAGTGAAAACGGGGCTGTGCTGTGTGTGGAGTGGAAAACGGAACAAAACGGTGCCAAAAACGCAAGGAAAAGCTGCGAAAGCAGTGCAAAACGTACGGGCCGATAAAGCAGCAAGTGTGGATAAACGCGGCCATCAAAGATATAGCCAAATTATCTGTGGTTTCAACCGATTTGCCAGCGAAACAATACCTAATATACAATACGACGAGAGCAACACCCACACACGCTCTTCGCTTAAATTGTGTACATACATACATACATACATATAATATTTAGATAAATTCTGCGTAGTGCGGTGCTTGAGAAGCTGTTTTCTATACCACCTCATTATCTCCACATCGTAAACCCACTCCAAAAATCGCTGCACACATGTCCTACATGATGGCCAAAACGCTTGAGGAGCAGAGCCTGCGGGAGTGCGAGCACTACATCCAGACTCACGGAATCCAGCGCGTCCTCAAAGACTGTATTGTCCAGCTGTGCGTCTGCAGGCCCGAGAACCCTGTGCAGTTCCTGCGACAGTACTTCCAGAAACTCGAGAGGGTGAGTGAATAATCAACCTTGATTCCTTGATGTATTTGGGCTTTTAAGGGATAAATAATAAGTTCACACCCACAAAAAATCCAGACAATACTTTTATGGTATGAAAATACATTTGCTTATTGTTAAAGGCTTAATATGAATCTTAAGTATGGTCATCCTGGCATTAAGGCCACGTTTCTCAGTTCTAAAGAAGCTTCAAAATGAGGGAGTTAATGAGCTTCCATGCCGGTTTCTTGACCTGGTTCCCTGGAGGTTCTCTAATTCTTTGATTCCAACAGTACCGATAAGCATTTCTTTGGTATTTGCCTGATATATGTGATGGCCGAAAAGTGAACGGTAAGTGGTCGTTACCTATAGTTACATAGGAGGGTAGGAGGGCTTTGGCTTGGGACATCTTTCTGGTTTAGAGGTCTTGGGCTTGGCGCATTGCATTCTCTTCTTCGGCTTAGGACACTGTCGGGGGCACTTGGGTTTCGGCTTGGCGCAACTCCTCTTGCGCTTCGAGACTTTAGCCTTCGGTTTGGCGCAACTCTTTCTTGCCCTTGGTTTGCTACACTTTGGCTTACTTTTTTTGGGACAACAAGTATCGTCAGGTCCAGCTCGACCCATAGTACCGAAAATATTGTCGACAGCGATATCCGTGTGTAAATTTAAGTTCACTTCTTCAGATGCGGTCATGCTGGACAAGTCGGTCAAATCATTCTCCACTTTTTCAGCTTCAGTTGGATTCTGTGAAAAGGCATTAAGTTAGTAGTTAGTTCTCTAAAATGAACTACCCAACTATGACATACCTCACAGAACTGACGTCGAAGACTGTAAGGCATCTCCTTCCATCGGTTCTCAGCGACCTTTGTTATCTGCTCATCAGTGTACATTTCGGAAAAGCGATTCCTATAAGTGTTTAGAAAGTTATCATAGCCCGATGCATCGAATCCAGCCAGAAACTCATTGAAGGCAAGAAGATCCTCAGACTTTAGAGAACTAAGGCTTCCCTCAGAACTTTCCTTCACCGGCGCACTTTTCTTAGCATCCTCACAATCCTTAATTTTTAAATTACTCATTGTTTTATATATTTGCGAAAAATTTTAATCGAAAATAACTTTCAACAGAATAATTTGTTTTGAAAAGAGTAAAAATTATATAAAATTTTTCTAAATTTATGAAGATTTTTTTTTATGTGTTACTCGTACGACTGTTTAATACAAACTAAATATATGCTGGCCTCAGCTTGGTAACTGGGAATTTGGCTTTGAGTGAAGGCTGGACGGTAACTATGATCGGGGTTTTTCGTTTTTTTTAAAGAATTTTCCTCATATTTTTCGAAGTTGGCTATGCTTGGACGTATTTTTAAAAGATTTAATAATTACATTAAACTCTTTAGTTATCTGAGGATCCTTTAATAAATCCTTAATTAACTCATGTAATCTGTTTATGTTTTTGGATAATACAATATTTACGAATATGGACATAGAAAGTGGTGAAGAAAGGTGTTTCTCATTTATCATATGTGATTGAGTTTGTTGTCGGGGTTTTCAACCCCTCGAAAGCAACAAGCGGCTTTGGCTAGTCATTTGCCTGCCCCTTAAACGAAAATCAATACAACCTGTGGTCTATTTTGGAGCTGAGTGTTAAATTAAACTCGTCTAAAGGCGGATTTTGAAACACAAATGTTTCTCGTTTATCGTTTCTCGGAGAAGTGCATTCTCTCTGTTAGTTAGTTGGAAAGCTTTTAAGTTTACTTTTGGATGGCAAGTGGCAAGTTGCAGCGAAAGCTTGCAATGGCTGCAATGTAAATAGAACAGCGCACCTGTGGACGCACCAGTGCCCTGTGACCCCTTTTTGCACCCAAAAGCCATATACTATAGCCCCTTTCTCTCTGGACTTTGATGTGTGGGTGTGTGGGTCTCTCTGGGGCACGTTGCCTGTTGAATGCCGGACTCGCTGTCAGTTGGATTAGCATCCTGGCGCCGTGCAGAAGCATCCAGCGTCCTTCTCGTTCACTCACTTTTTTTTTGCCCCCGCGCGCAATGGGCAATCAGTTGAGTGTGAATAGTATTCAGGATGCGGTCATCGATCGCTTCCGCTCAGTAGCTTTGACCACCGATGCCAATGGCGCTATGCGCATCCGTTCGTTTTCGGAGGGTGTTGTGACCACCACTCACCATCATCATCAGCATCAACAGCAGCAAAGTCCTCATTGCAGTGGTCGTGGTGGTCGTATCCTTCGGGAAAGTAGCATTGATGGTGGTGTTGCTATGTTTGATGCTCTATTACGGGATGATCATGAGCATCGCTTGAGCTTGGATGCTGTGCATCGGATGCGGCATGTAAGGACCTCATGCACTACAATACCAGAGGAGGATGCTGTCAGTGATCGCAGTTTGCAAATTCATCTCTCATCTCTTGCCCGCGAACGTGAACATGAACTTGAGCTTGAGCGTGAACAAGAACGAGAACGAGAACGTAAAGTAAGTTTGGAAAGTTTGTAAAAAGCGGGAAACGGGAAAACGCAAGTGACTTGCGAAATTTGTGCGGAAAAGCTTTTAGCGGAAAATATCCAAAGTGTGGGAGTGTGCGCATGGTGGCAAAGCTTTGATTACATTTTGCGTTGGTGTGTTTTGCCGATTCGGTTTGTTACTGCAAATTACGATGTCGTTAGTTTGTGGCACAAATAAAAACAAAAAGGAAACGATGGTATTGATACTAGACTTTTTTAATACCCTTTAAGAAATGGTTGAAAAATTTGAGTTTAGTTTTCTAGGTTTTTCATGATGGGAATTCATTATCAAATCCTAATTCTGGGTTTACAACGTTATAGAAAACTAGTTTATGTAAGTGCTAAAAAGAAAATGTATTACTAATATAAAAATAGTAATGAAAAAAAACCAAATCCACTACATTATGAATGTATCCGAACTAAAGTAAGCCCTAATTAGCAGGGTATACCAGAATACCTGCCGCAGGAGCAGCTTTTCTCCAGTTAATGTCGTTTTTGCACTTGAAACTCTCAGGGAAGAGCAGCGAAATCAAAGCGCTCCCACTGCTTCCTTGCCTTGCTTTTGGTACTTTGTGCCCTTTTCTCCTGCGAAAGCTTTTCCTTTCGCCAGGAGCTGCTGCGTCATAACTGTGTGTGTGTGTGTGGGTTGGTTGGTGTGCGAAAAACTTTACTTTTTGGCCATCCATATAGATATATATATGTACGTATGTATATATTTAGAAAGGTTTCCATTGCTGTGCGTGTTGGTGAAGGTCATCCTGTCGTCGTCGAGATTGTGTTTGTGTCTGTGGCTCCGAGAGTTTGCTTTCGTCCTTTCGGTTGTCTCAGTCACTTTTTGGCCACCGTCAGCTGCCCATCGTCGTCCCACATTTTTTCGCCAGTTTAACTGCTCAATTTACTATTTACCATACACCTTTTGCGGTTCTTAATTCTTGAAGTTCTTCGTCTTGGTCTTCGACTGATTGATGGCCACGCGAATTCCGGAGTTTCGATCATCGAATTGTCCGGTTTAATGGCCGTGTTAATGTCGCTTTTTACGGCTGTCATCGCTCCGTCCGGCACTGTTTACGCCGGCTTCTGATTAACAGGCGAATCGTGCCAAAAACTACGCTGGATACTTTGTCGCCAGTGTCCGTCAAATTGGGCCATAAAATAAAAACAAACAGCAATCAATTGTGTTGGCCAAACGAGGGCAGAAAAAGTGCTAACCCGGAAGTGAAAGGAAAACAGTCTCAGCCAGAAAAATGGTGGGTAAACTGTCAACTGTTAAATACGCTTAGCAGGGTAAATAATTCAGTTTGGGATGGGATTTTATTTACGTTTATTTTTGATATATATCTGGATATTGTATCTATTTGTACTATCTCTTCTCTGAGCCAAAAGGTATTATCTTTTTAAAGGGTTTTTGAGTAAAGATTTGTTTTTATTTTCGAATCCTCCAATCGTTTCCTTCAAAACTTTATTCATTTTAACAAATAACTTAAATCTCCTTTCTAAAAGCCAACCCTAACCATGGGTTATTTTCTCCTTAAATGTGCCATTAAATTGATGTTCTTTTTATAATTTTTTAAACGACCAACTCAGTCCTTACAAATTGTGTTTAAAATGTAACTAAATATAATGGCTTTGTGCTTTTATTTCTGTTTTTTTCCCCCCAACGAGTACGCAAAAGCATTTGCCATTATAATTTCAAGTGGCTGTTAACTGGTAAACAATTCAAATGAGAAAATTGTCCCGTGAAATCTGACCTCGAATTATGATCTCTTTAGTTGATTAAATTGTTATTTTTATTAGGAATTATTATTTACTTTTTATGCATTCGCATCGCAAGAAAACAATTTCGTTGATATTTTTAAGTGGATTTTTGGAGGAAAGTGATTTATGATTGTGGGGATACTCTGAAGGGGATTACGGTTGATACCTTGGATATTGAAATTTTGGCACAAAAGCCTGGGCTATTTTTATCGTCCTGCCATCTAACTTTGTGAATAATTGAGTAGCTTGGAGGTAATATAATCACCGTTCCACAATACCTTTCCTCCACCTCCAGATGCTCTGGTTTCGCATAAATAAATTATCGTTTATTTTACGCTTGAGTTGGGGGCGGCGGCATTTATCGGGAATCGAAACTTTTATGTAAATAATACACAGAGAAATGTATAAAGGAAAGACCATTGTGTTTGTTGTGGAAAAGTTTCTCTGCCAAAATGCGTAAACGTATCCTGCCGGATGTGGGGCGACCTTTTGTATATGTGCGCCGATCCATTAAGCGGCTTATAAACACAGGCTACCTTCGAGTGTCCATGAATAATTTGGCCAATAAAGATGGAGCAACAGATTTTAAATTAAAAATTCACCCCTCCCAATACCTTTTGCCAATTTACTTTTGGCCCAAATAAACCTGTAAATCCTTTTGTCCAACTGACGTCATTGGGTTATATTGAAGGCTTCAGCTGTCAATTTGCTTTGGATGGCTGGCTGCTCGTTTGTTGACAGCTGTGACGACGATTGTGGCGTGTCCTTTTTCGCAGGACATCATGCCCGGCCATCAAATGGGCAGCTGGATAACCCAGAATCGATGGGGGCTATACCTTCTACGCCTTTTGTGTGTCCCCAAAAATAATGTTTATGCAGGCGAGCGCCAACAAAAGGTTTTTGCCCAGCATAACTGATGGTTTGAAAAAAGAAAAAAAAAAACTAAAACTGGAAAAGAGAGGTGGAGGTGTTTTTTCAGGGGGCGTGGCAAAACAAAAAGTTCACTGAATTGGAAATTTCGCTGAAGCAACTTTTGAGGCGCCGGAGGGTCGGTCGGTTGGTCGGTGGAAAAGCGGCATGCAGCATGGATGTTTTTATGCTGGTCTTTTCAGCCATAAAGTGGGAAAATTTAAAGCGAGTGAAAGGCACACGAGTGTGTGCGAAAGAGAAGCAACGTAATTCTGCGTCAAGTAGGGCGCAAAATTTTAATTAATTCGATTATAAAACGCAGTCACACACATACACACACACACACACACCTGTGGGAAAAACGTGGCCCAGGAAGCAAGCAGACAAAAAGCTTTTCCGCATTTTAGTGCACCAAGTTCCACCCGCATCCTGATCGGTCTCCTTCTCTCTCTCTGTTCCCTGGAAACTTTGCCCGTTGACAAAGTGAATCCAAGTGTGGGGCGATAGAAAGTTATGGCCAATGTTTCGCTTTGCCCACATTTAATGAGTTCTGGTCTTGGGGCTCTAAAAGGAATTTAAATTGCCAACGCGCCACAACGTAAAATGAAAATGGCAAAGGAAAACGAAAAGGGAGTGGGTTGGAGTAAAAGGTCCCTATTATATGTACATAATTAATTTCTTAAGGGCGGAAAATTACATTGTCCTCTTTATTTGCATGGACCTTAAAGGGTAATACTTTTAAATTGAAAATCTCATCAAATTTTGACTCATCAACTACTTCTGACGAATTAAAAATTCCCCAAAATACTATAAAAAGATCCCATTGGGATATCAAAATGCCATGCAATTGTCTTTTTGATAGACATTCTAATTTACAAGGCAGCCAACGAGGAAGACTATATATTTTCTGACTCACCGGAAAGATGCAATTTGAAATGCCTTTGAAACGAGAGAGAGAGAAGAAATCAGCTTTCCCAGTGGACTTATGAAGCTGCAGCCAATTGTCGTTGGCACTAGACTCTCTCGGGAGGCTTTTCTCCTCCAGGTGCTGAACAAATTGGCATACTTAACCTGCCGTATGGGCCACCTGCATTGCCTCAAGGTTCCAGCCCACTTGGATATCCAACTGCCAGTGAGGTAATCCCAACTAGGCAACTTCGAGGGCTCTTCGCCTCCGTGGCCACCTTGAGTTCTCACTAACGAGAGCATTGCATCCATGGCTTCAAGTGCCTAAATCTGTGCTTTGGCCTTTGTACGTTGCGTATACGCCATGTGGCCGGCATGAGGCATTAAATCTAAAGATACACCAACCCCGACATAATAATTGTTAATATAATTGTTATTGACAATTTATCAAAGTGAGTGCGAATGAATTTGCATGTTTATGGGCTCGTGAAACTATAAATCGCCGGCGTAGCAAATCAAATTTGTTTCCGCCGCTGCCTTGGGCAAAAACATTCTACATATATAATAATAATAAAAACCCGCCTACAATCTTTGCTTTTCGTTTTTGTTTTCCATTTCGCGATTTCTGTCTTGTCTGCTTGGCACTGGTACTCAAATTGATTTGTTTTGTACACTGCGCGACACGAGAGACTGAGAGGTGCGCTAAATGGCATGGAAACCCCTCCAGCTCTCCCACTTTCCATTCGAGATTTCAACCAATATCTCTCTTGGCCACATAATTTGTGGCCAACATTAGCTTCTGCTCTTTTGTAGTTTGTATTTGCCTTGTGTGATTCCTAGTTGGCGGTTTGTTCTTTTTAATATTTCTGTCGGTTTGTGGCGACTTTTACTTTCCTTTAAGTAGCATGTGATTGGCCGTTTTGTGGCTGCACTGGGAGAAACTAAGTTATGGAATTTGAATTATTAATTAGATGATTTTCAAGGAACGAAGAGTAAAGGTTTCATAAATCGAATTTAGGTGTTATTAACACATTTTTTAATGTACAAATCTCAGTGCAGAAATTAACGTGAAACTTAAAAGTTTATCTTGTTTGAAGTTTTAATGGCATTGAAATTTTGCATTGTCATTTTCACTCTTAATTAATCCTCTTATTGTTGCTCATTACACCCACCACTTTCCCCTGTTTGTTTTTTTGTTTTTAACATTGTTTTTAGCGTTAACCTCCATTAATACACTGAGAAAAATAAGGAATTTATATTTATATAATCAAAGTATATGTAAAAGTAAGTCATAGTGAAAAAGCAGTTTGATTTTATTCCCATTTTCTTTTATTATTATTTGAGTTTTTAGTACTAAAAATATTTTCTCCAAGTGTAATCAGACATCGAGGCTAGTGGCGATTACATCTTGGATCTTTTGCCCGCTTAAAAACCTACCACAAACCGCAAAATGGTCGGCAATTCACCCGCCCTACGCCACATAACGGTATCACCAATACAACCAAGTCACCCATAGATATACTCTCACACACATATGAGGGCAACTAGTGTGGAAAGATGAAGCCGCCGTCGCTGCTGCAGTCAGCGTTGGCGGTGACTGCGACGTCAACGTCGATTGTCCGCAAGTTGAACGCGAAATTCGAATTGAGTTTTCAGTTTGTGTCGCGCCTCCGTTTTGTAAATACGCGAAAAAAGACATTCGCCGAGAGTCGAACAACAATAGCAACAACAACCGCTTACAGCAACTAAATAATTAAAACGGAAACAGCGGGTAGACAAACAAACATACAACAACAACAACAACAAACACATAAGCCATATGAACTAGAAGAACAAGAACCCAGTGTGTTCCTTGGCAATTGGATTAATTAAGCAATTATAAACGGCAGGAAAAACAGAAAAATAGGCAAAGAAACGGCAAGAAGGAGCAAAGTGAACAAAATTAAATTGGACACTAGCGGGAAAATTAAATCAAATATTTATGTGTATAATGGCGGGGGCCTAGTGACGCACGATCTCATAAATATATTTTTAGGATTTCTTTTTTATATAATTTTATATTTTATTGCTGTGGCCGCTCATTTATGCCAATTAAATTCGCAGCGATTTCTTTTAATAGCCCCAATAGCGTAAATATTAATCATACGCAGTGGAGACCGATCTTAAGATTCCTTCTGAATTCATGAGAGATTTTTAAGGTTGCTGTTTTGCATATAATACAGTTAAAATAGTTCTGTATATCCAATTAAAGAAATATTTTTCGATTTAAACTTAAAAATAAATCATACGCACTGTGTACTCACAGTCCAATGCTAAAATGTTCCAACAGCTAAAATGTAAATCATACGCAGTGGCGGCCCATTATTTACTGTTTTTAGCCCTTAAATTTCACCATTTTTAAGTGGCTTTACTTATTCGAATTTATGTTTTTTTTTTGGCTACCTAAAAGTATTTCCAATTTAAAGAAAATTGTTTCAGAGCTGTTCGCAGCATTTTTGAATATTTATTTTTATAAAACTTTGACATTGGATTTGTCATTGCTGTGCTGGCGGCTGTTTTTGCTCGCCTGTCCACGCAGCGTATACGTAATATTTTTATAATTCTATTTTGCTCCTCTTGCCGTTGTCTTTCTTGTCAGCAAAGCATCCGAGCAGCATTATTACAAATCCGAGAGTGAAAATCTTTTGAGATCCTCAACAGAAATCCCCACGTCGCGCGTTTTTCATATTCGACTAATACTACAACTTTTTGTTGTTTGTTTTTCTGTGTCCATATTAGAAGCGAAGCGTTTTCACAATTTGTTGCACATAAGTAGCACAAGCACCAACACACGGATAAACTTAAGAACCAAAAACTCACACACACAAACACACGCACACACACACCAAGGCAGGAGCACACAAGCAAAGAAACATGTCTAAGGTTTGCCATAAATAAATGAGTCTGTTAGTGGCTGTCATAGTTTGTAGACCATAAGTCTAGTTTGTACGTTGTCTATTCAATAAGCGCTCATTCATCTACACAGAAAATAGTATATATATTAAAGAAAAAAAAAAACAAAAAAAAAACACCCTCATAGAGGTAAATATTTAGTGTTCGGTTGCACAATTGTGTGCACTTGCTTTGGCTTGTTTTTTTTCCCATTCCGCGGACTGTCCCCCACAGAAGTCGACGCCTCCGCTGGTTGTTATTCATGCTCATTGGATGCAACAATGCCGTCATGTCCACAATTGCAGCGGCGTCCATTATCCACATACTATGTGATGGGCTATATGTTCTGATGTTCTGGGTCCTACCTCACAGCATGTGGCACTATTTGTCGCCTCATCAGCGTTTCATTGTCGCTGTTGTAATTCGCTTTCTGTCCCTACAAAAAGAGATCTCATCCAGCTAAAAGCTAAATGCAAAGGCTGAAAGCAGCTTTTAAACCCTATTTTTACTGCCAGTTTGTGGGATTTATCTGCTTTATGGAAATATTTATAGTGCACATAATCGTTTTAGGAGGTCAGTTACAAAAGCAATGTTAAGGGATTACATTTTAAGGGATTTATAATGATTTTTTTTTACTTTTATAAATGGATTTCATGTTGTGTTAATTAAAACTCTTTTATACTTAAAAAGGTTTACTTTTCTTTAACTCAATTGATATAAAATATAAAAACTAACTATATGAATAATCTTTTAAAGTTTCACAGTGAATAATAACAAATATATTTATAAGGCATACGTGACTCTCATCATTCTTGCTAAGCCCTAATTTTTACTATATTTCATAACTCAAGAACAACAAAAAAGTTTCAAAATAATATTTCTATAGCAAATGCAATAAATATAGTTTACAAACCATTAAACTGAAAAATTTTCTAAAATAAATAACAGAAAACCTTGAATACCTCCAACTTTATAGCTCCATTCGCAGCCATACAAGATTATTAAACATAATTGATTTTGTAATAGGTGAAAAGTGTCAGGTAATTAGTCTTCATTACTCAACCTTCACCGCATCTGGGCCCACCCTTCCCACTTGGGCCCCACCTTGTCCCAACAATTGCCGTCATCTAATCAAGACCTGCATTCGTCATGATTCCCATAAATGTTGTTTGCTGTTTTATTAGCGAACTCGGCGTTGATAAGGCGTTGAATGGTGACAAGACTCCACTTTAAAGTCAGGGCCTACGTGGAAAACGAATCACAACACCCATCCAATCAGACATGGCCAGACCGCAAAAGTCAAGCCATCCGGGTTGGGGGATTGGATTGGATTCAATTTACAATTTGCGAAATCGATTTCCGTTTAATATGTCACAGGGAACGTCGCCAAAAGGCTGAATGCCGCGCAGCTCCGTCCCTGGAAAAATAGCGAGAAATATATGAGAGGTTCAAAGGGTGGTAGTGGGTGGTGGTGGCTGGTTGTTGGGTGCTTCATGGCCATGTCCATGGCCAGGGCCAGGGCAATAAGTCGACTGGGCGCCGACTCCGCGTCTGCACAAAGGTCACGGTCATATCGCTGGCACACGCGCCTCTCCAAGTGCCGGGTTCTGGGCTCGGAGCTCTGGTCTCTGGGTTGCTCGGTTCTGGGCGCTGTCCCTGAAAAAAAAAAAACGCCATAAACAAAGTTGCAGTTTTGCAAATGCAAAATCGGACGGGGGGAATGTTTTGATATTGCCACCCAGTAGCAGTAGTAAGCTGACTGCATGATAAACTAGAGTATGCAATTTGCATACTTGGCAGCTCTGAACTTTGGGGTATTGCGAATTATTCATTGAAATTTGTAGTTAATGGACTATGTTGTAGTTTCATTTGTAGGGAAATTACTAATTATTACTTTGTTTTATAAGAGCCTTGTCCCTTTTTCTATTTATTCCTGTAATTTATTTACAAAACAACAACTTTTTGGAGAGTTATCATAAAATATTTGAGGAACTTTAAAGACTTAGTTTAAGAGATAGGTAACACACTTTTCAGTGAATAAGCTTCACTTCTCTCTACTTAATTAACCAACATTTGTATTCTAAACGTTGATGTTTTTGGGCGGCAACAGCACTTTATTATCTTCTGTTTTGACACCTGACTTCAGGTTCCTTCAGCTGACTGGCAGCCACCCAAGAGGTTCGTCAATCACTGGATACGACATTCGGTTGGGGGGTATTCATTGAGTGGTTTGTTATCGTCATCTACAATTCATGATCGACTGCCGAATTGCTTAGCTCACCTATTAATTGCGATTTTGTATTTTCATTTTCCTCTCCTCCCTCCATTGTTTTTACCCGCCGCTTTGTTTAAACTATTTCTGCGTACTTCAGGCGATTTTTGGCTTGGTATAATTATAATACACGATTGTTTGGACAATAAAAATTAATGAGCAGCGTCGTTCATTTGAAGTTCTTGGCGAGGCAAGACGATGTTTATAAGTGGACTGAAAAAAGTTCTTTCAAGAGATTGCGGCTGAGTGAGAGTAAAACGAATAAAGTGCAATTATTTTTATATTAAATGCAAATACTTTGATATGGCTTGGAAAACATATTGTTATTTTGATTGAAGTATTTTTGGAATATTTAAATTTGGTTATATGTGAGGTGCTTAAAAGCCTTGTTAATGATTGAGTTTAGTTTATAGTATTTTAATTTGAAATCCCCAATGGAATACAGCTATTTGCTGACTTTTAATTTCACATTTAATCCAGATAATAAATATGTGTTTTGGCTAGCCAAACTGTGGCCTGTTTTTGAAAATATCTTAATGTGAAATAGCCTATTAATAGGACACTGATCCTAACGCAATTCAAATGCAGCAATAACTGCCAGCGAACGCCACTTGCAGTCACGTTGAGTGACAATTTAATGCAACTTAATCAGCATCTTGGACCAGCTGGCCATTTCTGCTCGACTGGTTTGACGTCACGATGTGGGCAACGGACTGCAATTGGACAGCTGGACAGTGGACAGTGTAGCTTTGAATGTACCTCGGAAATTTTGCATAGGGACTAGAGACACACGGAATGCGCAGCCAGAAGTCAGGATGTAAAGCTCTTTGGCTCCTCGTTTGGCCGCTTTTGATTGCCGACGCGATAATGGAGCTTATGAGCTGCGGATGTGGGCGGGTAGAGCTTTTCCGGGTTCGGCGCATCCCCGGACAATATGCAGAAAAACAACCACTGGTTGCAGTTCCCTTATTCCCATTTAGAGTGACGCACATTTGAAGGTTGACTCCTGGAGTCGTAAGTCATGCCTCTACCAGCGAATTTCCAAAAAGTGAGAGAGTTATGTATAGATTGAGGGAAACTATTGAACTTTGATATTTTACAAGGGCTAAATATGTCTATTAATAGAATAAATATTACATATATATTAAATATTAATTAGTTATTGCTGTTATTTCAAACTGGTCTACAAACTATAGAGCCTTATAGCCAAGCAGCTTTAAATATCTTTATTTTACCCTCTGATAAAATAATAAATCCATAAGATAATGAACCGAGATTTGTTTGCAATAAACCAAACCCAAAATACTCATAATATTGTTATTTTTATCTTTGGCAGGAACAAGTCAAACTGGATGCCAGTAGACAGGTAATCAGCCCCGACGACTGCGAAGATCTCAGCCCGATGCCACAGACAGCAGCTCCACCGGTTCGCCGGCGTGGTGGAATCTCTGCCGAACCCGTCACCGAAGAGGATGCCACCAACTATGTAAAGAAGGTGGTGCCCAAGGACTATAAGACGATGAATGCCCTGTCCAAGGCGATTGCCAAGAACGTCCTGTTCGCCCATTTGGATGAGAGCGAGCGTTCCGATATATTCGATGCCATGTTCCCTGTGAATCACATTGCCGGCGAAAATATCATCCAGCAGGGCGACGAAGGCGACAATTTCTATGTGATCGATGTGGGCGAGGTCGATGTGAGTATACTTATAAAATAATTAATAAAATCATGATTAATTTATCAAAATCTATTCTAGGTTTTTGTCAACTCCGAATTGGTGACCACCATCAGCGAGGGCGGCAGTTTTGGTGAACTGGCCCTGATCTATGGCACTCCACGCGCCGCCACAGTGCGAGCCAAAACCGATGTGAAGCTGTGGGGCATCGACCGTGACTCCTACCGTCGCATCCTGATGGGTTCGACCATCCGCAAGCGCAAAATGTACGAGGAGTTCTTGTCGCGTGTCTCCATTCTGGAGAGTCTGGACAAATGGGAACGCCTCACGGTGGCCGATTCCCTGGAGACGTGCTCCTTTGATGATGGCGAGACGATCGTCAAGCAGGGAGCCGCTGGTGATGATTTCTATATCATCCTCGAGGGCTGTGCGGTGGTGCTGCAGCAGCGTTCCGAGGTGAGTGACCGAGATTAGAGCGGCGCTGACACACCTGTCTAGAGATCCAAACTAATCAAATGTGCTATCTTATCAGCAGGGCGAAGAACCTGCCGAGGTGGGCCGTCTGGGTAGCAGTGATTACTTTGGCGAGATTGCTCTGCTTTTGGACCGACCACGGGCGGCGACCGTCGTGGCCCGCGGGCCGCTTAAGTGCGTCAAACTGGACCGGGCGAGGTGAGTGACAGTTTTTTAAGCTAGGGAAAACTAAAATGTGAACTTTTTAATGGGATTTAAGGTAATGAAAATAAGCTGTCAGTTCTTGACAGAAATATTTATGGAGTAATATTTTTGTTTAGCATGAAATTGTTAAAAAAAATGTTAAAAAAACTGGCTATATTTTCATTACCTCTTTTATATTTTTATAACTTAACTAATAAACCTTTTTAATCGCAGATTTGAACGCGTTTTGGGACCCTGCGCTGACATACTCAAACGCAACATCACGCAGTACAACAGTTTCGTTTCGTTGTCCGTTTAAGCCAGCAACAACGACAACAACAACAACAACAACAACAACCACTACAACAACAAATCAACAACAACAAAGAGCAGCAGCAGCAAAGAAAACCAACAAAAACCGACAAAACAAACAAAACAACAACGCAGCGAACGTCGAAAAACAATATGAAGACGATGGGAAATTAGGTGGATATGAAAATGAAAAACAAACGCTCAGCAGCATAAACATGAAATCGTCAACTATATAAGTGTGTAAAGTTAATTGCCACAAAGCCATGGGATGACTCTGAGATCCTGAATGTCAGAGATTCCGAATGCATGGGGGCTTCGGCTGAGGGCCTAAAAAAAATGTTAATTATCTGATTCTGTATGTTGTGCTGAAGTTACATAATTGTGTATGTGTGTGTCTCTGTGCAAAGGTTGCGGCGGCATGTTCCCACCACCCCCGCAACCCCTGAATATCGGAGATAACTTTCACCAGGCTTCATCTATATATTTATATATATATATATATATATATATATATTTCTATCAACTTCTTTCGAGTTTTCCGGATCTATTCGAAAAACGAAAAGCTATTTGTATATCTTATGGAACATGCTGCCTCCCCAAAACAAAAAACGTTTCATTAAATATCCAACTGACATCTGAATGTTTTTTAACAAAAGAAATAAACAAGATGAATATATGTGTAATAAATAAAATCATACAAAAAAGGCAACAAAACATACACACACACACACACACACATAGGCACAAAACACAGACACACGACCAACAACCACACACTCTCATACGAGGCATGAAGTCATGGGAAAAAAATAGGAAAGGAATGAAAAAAAAATTGTATTTCGCTTGTATGAATCGTTATATTTTTGTGTATAAAACAAAAACACAACGGCAGCAATTAATTAAACATTTTTAATTTTAATTTTAGTAAATTATTTTTAAACGTAAAACGCGTAGCACATGAAGTCAGCGAGTCAGAAACTATTTAATTAAATATTAAAATCAATGAAAAAGTTCATGATTATCGCATATATGTTTCTTGGTTCTTCATCGAACGGTGTTTCGTAAACTTAACCTAGTTTTATGATTTCTTAAATAACTAATTTAAGCTTGAGCACAGCAAATGCCTAGTCTAAGCTGTAATACTAGAGGTATTCCCGTTTGTAAATCATGTAATGGAAATGCAAAATGAATGAGTTTTATGAGTTTTTCAGATTTAAAAATCAAATTTAAGCCATTTCGCTGAAAGTGCAATATGAATTTCATGGAATACCTCTGTAGTTTCGAAACTAATGTACTAGGCATTTCCAACAACTGCCAGCTGACGAGAAGATGACTTTACAAGAATTTTGAAATATGTCAAAACGCAGATTCTGGGTGTGGGCGAGTGTGTGCGTGTGCTGGGTGAGTGTGCGTGTGTATCTGTGTGAACTAAAGAATATTACCCAAACGAGAAGTTGCATTTACAACACTCAGAAAAACAACAAACAAACAAGCAGCCAACAAAACAATTTGTGTGTATATATTTGTAAAGCTTATATCTGCTCGATAGATCATCAAGCATTATCTTTAGCTGTTGCTACATCACACACACACACAAGCACACACATACTCATCCACCCACTATCACAGCCAAACCGCAAATTTACTTGAAGAAAGTCATAACTCAAAAAAAACAGCGATTTTGAAATGCACTTACGCGAAGAGTAAAGAAAAAACAAAAGCTAAAATTTTGACAATTTTACAGAGTACAGATTTGCATTGACATTTTGAGCTATGACACGCTGTTAGTAAATGAGCAAAATGCAAAAGGTTGAGCCTAGGACATTTTTAAGGGGTCTGTGCCGTGTGCAGACCACGCCTACATATGGGCGTCGATGGAACCCGCCGGCGGGTTAGAAACAAAAAATGGCAAAACAAATAAGAAGGGCATGCAAAAACTTTAACTTTAAACCGAAATGCAGGCAGTGGAGATATATATGGAGATCGAGTGGAATACAATTAAACTTACAAGCATAATATTATCAATGTAAAATCGTATGTAAAAAAAAACAAAGGCAGAAATCTATAAAAAAAAAACAAACAAACTGACAACCAAACAAGAAAAAATGAACAAAAAAAAATACAAAAAAGAAACTAAGAAATAAATACATTTACATAGATGTTGCAAAAATCAAGTGAACTGAAGCTCCTCCCATGGATTATCCAAGCCCTCTTTGTAGATTTGCGTATCCTGTCAGTGAGCAAGCACTTCCGGATCAGCGACCCCATGTTTCTGGACGTAATCTTCTTTATACCCACACTATTCACTTACCTGCTAATTGGACTTCTCATCGTTATCCTCTGTTTCGTGGTGATCTATATAAGCCACAAGATATACGTCTCTGTGTACGACAACCTGCCCCTGGCCGCTTTGCCAGGAAATTCACAGCACCTCGGCTTGCGTCACTCCAATCATGCGATGACCATGCGGGAATACCTCGACAGTTCGCTCCGGAATCCGCGCTCCAATCAGCCAAGCTTACGCTCTATTTGGATCCAGAACCGATCTCAGGTCCTGGACTCCTCGGGTAAGTTCTGCTCCAGTGAGGCTTTTACTTGGACAGCTCTTCCTCCAGGGTTCTTCTCCCATAGTCCTGCGTATTGTGCTCTCCCTGGAGCCGTGCTACCTGGTCAGCGTCGAGTTTGATATTAATTCCAGCTGGAAGGCTGTCAGTTTCATGTGTAACTGCCGGGAGGAGCCGGTATGTGCTGCCGCAGAACCAAGGCCTTCGGGCTCCATTCACATAGTCCGGTTCTATGAACATCTCACCAAGATCCCGCGACTCAAAGTAATGCTGAAGTGCAATCAAAGGCGACCGGAACCAAGACCGGATAGCCGGATCCTATTGACACTGGACGACGTAATCCAGGAGGCCAGGGATAACCAGGATGCCCAGTGTACGGATAACTCCGCCGCCTGCCGGCCTATTACCACGCGAAGGAATTCCCGTGCGGCAGAATAACTCTTGTATAGGTGGTTATAGGTCATCTGTAATCTACTGCTTTAATGTGGTATAACTTGTTTTATTAAATTGTATACAAAGATCAATGGGGTGGAAGCTCCAAGGTCAATGGGTTGGTCAGTGGGTCGGGTGAGCTCAACACGCCAGTTTATGGAAATCGCGTGACAACGAAGGTGAAAGTCAATGGAACAGTGGCGTGCGTATGTACCCAAGCAGAGGCTTAGGTGAACCCTTTCCTGAATAGAAGTTATTTCTATTTGCTTTATTCTGGATTTTCTTTTCTATATAAAGAAAATCTTAAGGGTTAGGTATAAAAATAACAAAAATAAACATTCCTAAGATTATTAGACATCTTAGAAACTGGAACAAATCTACAATCTACAGCGGATTAGTTGTTAGTCACGTTATATTAAAATATTTGGTGGTAAAAAGTAGACACTGAACTCTGAATTCTAAGTTTAAATTTTTGTAATATATTTTAATTTATGACTACGCCCATGTTCCGCAATCTTAATTAGTGCGGCCCGTGGTCTTTAAGCTTATCATACTGACTATGGTATTTGTTATCAATAGATAAAAAAAAACCTCTTCATGGCGGGTAGTTAGCTCGGCTATTGCCCGTAATTCCCGAAATCACTAGACCCCCATACAGATCTCGCCACCATAAGAGACCCCAAGCATTTTGTTTGACGCCATTTCATTCTTTATTGACGCGGCCAATTAAGAAGGCAGCGCTGTTGATTTGATTGCCAAGCGAATATGAATGCGACTGGAATTTCTCCATGAGTTATATTTATAAAGCGGGTCCCCCAAAAAAGTTGCCAGATGAGAAAAGCGGTTCCTCCCAATCGATAGGAACTCCAAACTGGAAAAACTTTTTCTAATCTCAGACCAAGTTACAGATTCTATTGCACAAGAAGCTTATCAAAACGAAAACGAAACAACAACAAAAACTGGAAGCACAACAAATAACAACATCTACAGCGGCGGCAACAGTCTGGCAACGAAGCGTATACGTAATGCCAAGCAAAGTTCCATTCATTTAACGCTCTCGGCTCGATTCAGTTCTCGGGCAGGTGTCAAGCGACGTACACACGAAACGCCGACGCGGTCACAATTCCAGAATATCATATACATGCTATATATGCTCGAGTGGCTAATTAACATACGCGTTTCGACCCGTCTCTTTACCTGAACCTTAGCTGTCTGGACTACACACTCATCCACAATTCTTAACGTGGAGAAGCGAGTACAAAGTCACAACAAATTTCAAAAACACACATATACGTACACCCGATAAATATATTTTTATAAGCACAAAGCGATCATCATGCTGGATCCCATTTCGGACACACCGCTTGTATTGGCCTACGTCTTTATGTCGCTGCTGGTGCTGATTTTGTCCTTCATATTGGTCAATGTGGTTCACAAGCTATATCGAAGTCTCAACACAGAGGTATCAACGGTTCCGATTTCCACCGCACAGCCGCTGAAGACCACCATCATGGGACTAGACGCCATGAAAACCGGTTAGGATGGGTGCAGCGCAGCTGGCTATGAGAGAAGCGAGAATCTCGAATCTCAGTCCGATGTCGGAGCTCCGGTTTTAGTTCGGGCGATTGGAGCGAAGCACGAGGAACGACAGCTGCAAGCCACCCACTCGCACGAGCCACAAAATCTAGACGCCTGTTGATATACCATTTATAAACATAAAAGCAATTAGACATAAATAAGCGAAACTAGGCTTACGAATAGAAATTAACTACACTTAACGCGCTGGTCCTCTAGTCAATTAATTGTTCGTGTTTGCCCTAAGGTTAGGTTACATGTACATTGATATTGTAAAAATAAAATAACTTGGACGATAACTGAACAGCAATTTAGGTAGATTGGGGGCAAGTACAAAGCACTTAACTGGTCGGGACAGTAAATGTCGCCTGATCGATGCGTAGAAAAGGCACAACAACCTTATCGTTGCAGTATCGAGACGTATAATTTGTGAGTCAATCAAAAACGTGATAAGAAACCCCTCTGACTTAGTCATAGATTTATACATAGTTTATTTAAAATAGCATGTTCATCTATAAATTTGCAATTAGAGCGCAGTTTGTTGTTATGGTAGCTGGATGAGTACGGACTACGTGAGTCCTCAGCTTTCGGGCCCAGGGCCACGTAGCTGCGACAAGATGTGTTAAACGGTGTTGGGGATTTGATGAGCGTAGAAATGATAGCAGCAGGCTGCTGGTGGTTCTGCGGCAGTGGCATCATCAATCTGTGGGATCGCTATAAATGAAGTAATAGTTATAAGCAACTTGTTATTATTTAGTAATCAAATAAACTCACCCCGAGAAAGTCTTTGGATGCTGCGACGTTAGGTCATCATCCTGGCTGCCAAGAGCCTTTTTAACATACTAAAAAAATAAATTATCACAGTTAGATAAAAGATTCCTTTATATCAATAACAAAAAATACCATTGGATTTAATATTATCTCCTCTTCCATTTTGTTGATCTGCCTAACTTGATCCAGAACATGAGTTATGTTCGTTTGCACGTTAAGGAACATGTCCGGTGAGTTGTATTTCTCTGGATCGTCTTTGAACAACACCATGCCGTCCTTTTGATTGATGCTGGCATAAATTTCACCCGACTTTATCTGAAGTTTATTATTAGATTGTTAAAATTAAAGTATTCTAAGAATCAGAAGCATTTGCTTACCATGTTGAGAATGTAACGCTCAGCTTCGACTGCGCTGGACAGCTGAACACGACTGGCAACATCGCTCAGGGAAAGGGTCAAGAAGGTTTTTGTTAGTCGCTGGATGTTTCGCTTGTACAAGGAAGTGGCTACCTAAATTGGGCGAAATATAGAAATTTTTCGTAAGTGATTCTTCCTTAGATTCTAAAATCTTGAATTTACTTCACAGGAAATGATTTGATTTTAGCTTTGACCGAACTTCCGGATAAATTTAAATATTTTCTTTATTTAAAACGACAAGATATTAAAAGTATGGTATATGAAGCTGTTCCACCTTCAAAAAGTCTATATACGTGTTATAATACATTTTTTCATAAATATTGCGCGTTTCTTTGTTTTTCTTTGATCTTTCTCAGTAAGAAAATATTTTAAATGTATATAAATAAACATTTGAACTGAAATACCTTAAAATTTAACTCGGCAAATAGACTTTCAAGTAGTCTACTTATCGTTATCATTAAAGACACTTGAACTTACTTGCTTGGCCAATCCCATATTGTTATCACGCGTAAATGCTTCACTGTACTTGAGTATGATGATGCGCAGCTCTTCGCTAGACGAATTCGCGTACACATTGACCAGGTCGTGGTAGTGATTGGCCATCGGCTTCATGAAACGACCAATGACCTGTGTGTTTTTTGGTATATACGCTATCTGCAACCGACAGATTATAAGATTAGGATGCTGATATATGGATAGAGCCAATCTGTTAGGAAAGTCACCTTGCCCTCGACGATCAGTGAAACCATGAGAAACTTTTTATAGGCCTCCAGCATGATGTGCGACATGGCCATGGCCGGAGTGGTGATGCAGACTTCGAAAAAGTACAGAGCACGCTCGTAGTTCTTAACCGCCGTGTAGATCATGCCACCATAGTAGTAGTACAGCAAAAAGTACTTGGCGTCGTTGTTGGCATCCTAAAATAGTAAACTATGAGCTCTACGTGCTCTGGAGAGGATGGGAATTCTCATTACCGCATGCTGAGACTGTTGCTGCTGCTGTGTCTTGCACTCGGCGGCTACGGTGGAGATGTCCGTGATGTCAGTATCCAAATAAGGCAGCACCACACTGAAGTTTTTCGCTTTCAGGCTGAGCAGGCAGAGATCGGCATGGATTGGCGTTAGCTGGGTGTCCAGTTGTCTAATCTGGTCGATGGCGCGTGAAAGGATGCGTATACCCAGGATGCTGAAGTTCTTTTGGACCACAAACTCGCTGAACAGATGACATGTTTCATAAACTGTGTGTGGAGATGGAGTTAATTTGACGTACTTTAAGTGTAAAAGGACTACAACTCACAAGCGCACACTGCAAATCGCAGCTGTTCCGCGTTGTTGCGCTGCACAAAGTCTCGCATCAGCTGGATAAGCTGCACCGGCTCTGCATTTGCGGTGGTTGCACTGTGCAGCTTCGCAAGAAGCACATAGAGCACGCCCAGCGTGTGCTGCTGCATGTCAAGGGTCTCCAGTACGTTGTCTAGGATCATCCAGTTGCGGGCGAGCAGCGATAACGATTCCGGCAGCTCCTCGGCCAGCTCCCGATAGCTTCCTGGAATAAAAACCGGCATGGGATTCAGAAAAAATGCACATCAATATCAAAACAAAGGCGGCGGTGAGTCCGGTTTTTTTGCGGTTCGTGGATCGCCGGTAGTCCAACTTACCGGATGCGCTCAGCGTGCGGACCTGATTCACATAGTTTTCCAGCGCACTGCCCATTTTAGGTAACTCCGAGACTACTTTTTGGCCTATTAATTTGCAAAAATGCGAAAAATAATTTCGCGAAATAACAAAATTGACTGGAATAAAAACGATGATTTTCTATATTATCGATTTCGGGACATTTAGTAATATCGATAGATTCCATCGTTATTCAACATTGCCTTTCTGCTCTGTTAACATTCAGCGGTTACTAACACGCCATCTATAGCAGCTCAGTTGTGTATAATCTTTAACATTTAGGTCAATATGCAACTTGTTGCTTTCAAATAAAATTTATAATTTTTGATATTGCTTGCTAAATACATCTTATCTACGAAGCAAATAAAACTACAATTCGGGTTGCAATATATTTTGAATATGTGCAATATACAAATATCTACAAGAGAACTAAAACTGATCTAAAAATAATCTAAGTTCAAATTTCGATATTATACATCAAAATAATGTCATCCCTAATGTCTACATGACCACTTTGTTATGAAGTTGTTGCTGTTCATCACAAAATACTGAAATCAAATGTAAAATTAAAATGGACAATTCTCCACGAATCGTTTATGTGTGCAGCCTGTGTTTTCGTCAATATGATCTCCAAGAGGATCTTCGAGGGCACTTCGTATATTTTCACGGCTACGAACCTATTTCGGAGCCCACCGGAAAAAACAAAACGCCGAAGAAATCAACTAGACAACAAACTGCAGCCGGCAAGAGTTCTCAAGATAAACAAATCATCGAACAACAATTGGAGGACTTGGAACCATCGTCCACTGAACTGCAACCTATTCCCTTTAAAGACTTTCGTCTGGTTTTAAGGGCAAATATGCTGGAAACGTGAGTATAATTAATAAATCATTGAAATTCCTTCTCTAACTCTCAATTTATATAAGTTGCTCCTTTGGCAAGGATTGTCCCTTTAAGTTCCAAGATGCTGTTAAAATGGAGCTACACACTAGTTGTCACAAAGGCTCCGTTTTCTCCTGCTGTGAGTGTGGACTGGAGCTTCCTAACTGGCGGCGTTGCTCGGCTCACTTGTGGAAAGTTCACAAGGTCAATGTGGATCTACTGGAGTGCCCCGTCCTCGACTGCAACTATAAGTCACCTATATCCGCTCTTGTGTGGCGACACATGCAGGTTCACAAGAAGTGGCGACCTAGAGTGCTCCGCTCCTTGGCCGCCGTTCAGCGGAGAAGGAAACTGAAGGAGCAATCCGCGGTGATACCCACACAACCTGAACTTCCTCCACCAACATCCAAGAAGAACAAATACTATGCAGAGAAGACATGTGAGATCTGCAATCGCAAGTTCGTCAATGGCAAAACGCTGTCAAAGCATGTAAAAACTGTTCATAACAAAATCAAGCCATTTATCTGTAATGTTTGTGGCAAAAAAACGGCGCGAAAGGCTAGTTTAATAGTAAGTAGTTTTTAGATTTATTCTAAACAGTGGTGTGTTTATAATTAATACTATTTAATCCATATCCATAGATCCACATGCGTCAGCACACGGGCGAAAAGCCCTTACAGTGCGGCGAGTGCAAGTTCTCCACGCGTGATCCCAGTGTCCTACACAAACATCGCCAGCGCCATGACAGTCAGGATACCAGGAGTAGCCTGAAGTGCAGTCAATGCGAATACCTTTGCATCCAGGCTAATGCTCTTAAGCGACACATGCGCTTGAATCATGCCGAAGCCTATAGAGATTTGTGTTGTGATCTTTGCAGCTTTACATCTATAAATGCTGAACGATTACAGGCGCACAAACAGGATCATCGACAAGGCTTAATCACTAACTGTGAAGATTCCATGGATGCCTCACGTGCCGCTGACTTTAAGTATCCTCGCAAGCTGGGTGATAAGAATGGCGAGGTGAGCAATCTTGATATAGCTGAAAAATTCATGTTTAACTTTGTCTTTTTTTAGATATCAGTTGACTGTTTTATGCCTTTGGAAAGCGTGGATTCGTTGCCCCATGAACCAGCAGTGGATACGGGAGGCGTAACCATACCAGCCCCACCATCCGAGGACACTCAGTTTCCCACATATTTAAAGGATTAATATTTAAAAATTACTCGATATGTAGTGAGTATTTTTGTTATTTTTCTTTACTTCCCCAATGGATTGTTCCATGGATTATTATTTATTTATAAGTGTGTATATTTATATGTATATATTTATTTACAATTTAATTGGTTAAATGTGGGCACGTCCAATGCGCTGTAAAGAGTTTTGTATAAAATAATGTTCTCATGCAGTTTGTTTTTGGGGATTTAAATGCTTGTTTATTAAGTTGTTCAGTTTTTCCATTTAATTTTAATATCATTTTAGAATCTGATATGATTTTTTTTTTTGCAACATTCGAATTATTTAGTCATGCTGGTTTACCGTGTTCCATTTTTAATTATCAGTTACGTTTTACTTTAAACTAATTTAAAATTTAAAAATCTACTCTGCTGGCGATAATCATCCGGTTTCAGTTCGGTTTCAAGATCAGCGCTCTTTAATCTAGGTTACGACAGAAATGTTTTCAATTTGTTTTCATTTTGGGCAGTTGCGCTAATAACTTGTTTAGTTTTTAATATTTAATTTGATTTAATTAGTTTAGTAGTTGAGCTTTACGTTTGGTTTAATATAATTATTTAGGCTTGAATGTAATCAGCAGCAGGATAACATCGCTGATCGCAAGTGATCTGGCTGCTCCTAAAAACATGCACCTCCTGTCCTCTTGTTCGCTATAGTAATTGAAATAAGTTACCATCGAGTTACAAAAGAATAAATTTTAACTTTTATTGTCTGAGTTTGATTCGAATATCAAAACATTTTCACTATTTGAGAGTGCAACTGAGTCGTACAGCTTAATGGAAAATAAAACGCTCAATGTAAAATTGTTAATATCATACAGCTTCTATTTGTTTTATTTACAGTTCTTAAAAAGGAAGAAGAGTATCAACAAAAAAGTTATACTTCGACCGATTTCACACACACTCTCTGCTGTGTTGTCTTTTCGGAGTCCCTGATCCCTGCTCCCTCCTTTTTGGCCAGGCCGGGCATTTTGCTTTGCTTTGATCCCCGAGCCTTAGATCTTGGTCTCAACGACGGGTTTTTTCTTCGACACAAAAGGGTTGTTCAAAGAGAGAATACAAAATAGAAAAGGATTCGATTAAGTCAGCTGCCATTGAGCCAAGAGCCAACATACGAGGATAACCATGCAAAGATTGGTTTTGGTATTGATCTGATTTGGTTTTGGTTTTGGTTTGGTGGTGAGGGAGCAGGCGCTAGATGATGTGGCATGAAGCGAACTGTGCACTTTTTGGAGACAACAACATTAACAACAATGGGCGTGAGCTGACTGAATGACTTCGATTCGACTGGGTTTTCTTTTTTTTTTTTTTTTTTTTTTGAGTACTTTGAATACGACGAGATACCTATAAATTGTTGGCTTGATTTTTAGCTTTGATTATGCTGATATTATCCATGATCACTACAACGTCTATTAAACAACTAACGAATTCATCTAGCTTCTATGTGTATTGACATATTCGACTAACCACTGCGTCTCACTGGCGACTAATTTACGTTTACGATGCATCATCCATCAATCTTAAAATGTAAAACATGTTTCACTTACGATCTACTCTTGGAATTGTTGATTAATCATTTCCCTTTCATCCGCTTACTCCTTTGGATTTTTTACTATTTATTTTATTTGATTTCATTACTTCTGTTTTGTTTGTTTCTTTTTTTATTTTTTGGTTTTTTGTGCGCCGCATAATAAATGCTGTGGGAGTTTCTGAAACATTCCCCGAAAAAACTAACCTCCTTCTTCATCTGAACTCGTTTCCATCCTCTTCATTTAGTCGATTTGATTTTAGCATAGTACGATACACTTAAAGGCTATTAGGAAACAGTTGTATCTACATAGGTCTATGAGTACTCTGTAAGAACCAAAGTAACGAACCTAGTGGAAGTTTTAACTGGTCAGATCTGTCCGATTTATGGTCCTCGTCCTTTAGTGTTACGCAATCGTTAGTATGTACAGTGTGTGTGTGTGTTTTGGTTTTGTGGGTCGTGTTGGGAAATCATATCGAAAATACATACGAAAAAACCCTAGGCCTAGAAAATTGCTTATAAAATTGCGCGACACTAAAAATAAAAGGATACGAGTCATCCGAGTCTTGCGATCTATAAAATAGATATTAATACAAATAGAATCCAAACAAAATCCTGCGATCTGTAGCGGATTCGCTATCATATAAATGCAGTTTAAAAAACATGTGAACGATTTTGATTTTGATTCTGGTTTTTGGTTTTGGTTTTGATTTCGAAAAAGATTTGCCTTTTCTTTTTTTGATCGTTTCATTGTTGCGTTTCGCATTCGCGTCAGTTGTAATTGTGGTTTCTGTTTCTTGGTTGGCTTGTGGTAGCGATTCTGGTTTCTGTTCCGGGGCACAATTCTGCACGTTATTGGCCGTCGAGCATCAGACCGTGGTCACACGGTCGATCTCCACGTAACGTACAGAATTGTCGCTTTGTCAGCAAATCACCTCCTTTTCATCCAAAACGGCCGTGTCCATCGAGCTGAGCGATTTGAGTCGCGTCTGCAGCACCGAGGAGCCGCGCAGCTTTCGTTTGATTTTCCTATTAAAATTTGTAATAAATAATTAGGTTTCTTAATATTGAACTAAAAAAAAAGTATCGTACTTGTAGGCAAAGGCAGCAAAAGCACAACACGAGAGTACAAAGATCAGGCAGAGGGTGGCCAGGATCTCGGCAGGCAGTTTCATTAGGGCCGAACACTGCAGGAAGGTCTCATCATCTCCGGAAGGACAATGGACCACACCATCGCACCAAACACTGGCATTCACACAGGCACCCAGTTCGGCACACTTAAACTGGCAGTCCTCTGAGAGATTTAATCATTTTAAATACTATTTATATCAAGATTAATTATTCCACTTACCCGCCATGCTAAGCGTTGGTCTTGGAATCAATTCCATCCAATTAAAGGAGTACTCGCCATTGCCAGGTCGCAGAAATTCTACGCTGATAGCTCGGGATCGATTGACAATCGCAAAGTTGGGCCTTTCATTCCATCCAGAACTAAAGATCTCCACGAATTCGTAGGCATTCGAGTCCGGACTCAGTGGACAGGCCACAATGGTTAGACCTAAGGAGTATAGGTAGGATTTTAATGGAGAAACTATTAATGAAAATGTGGTAACCTACCTTCTGAAGTGGTCAGCACAGCTCTGGACTTGGTCTCACATCTCCAAGTATCTGTCTGAACATAAGTCGTGTTCAAAGTCTTCGTGGGATTGTGTTTGCTCAAGAATATAGCCTTCAGTCGGACGTATAAGAACTTATTGCCATTAGAAGGTTCAATCAGCCAGGGTCTTGAGCGACACTCCACCTGAAAGGGAAAATTACATAAACTTATTTCATTTCCTAAAATCTTAAGGATCTACTTACATCCCCAAAGGTCATATCTATAGTGCCACTGGGTCCGAATTTCCTACGTCCATCCTTGCAGCTGGTCGGAGCCTTGACAAACTCGAACATTCCTTCGAAGTTGACCGTATCCGGATCATCTAAAGTGGTCATGTTTTGGGCAATAAAGTGCACCTCCACATCGCGACTTGTAGAAGTGTACTCCACAGGCAGGTGGGATTGGTTGGAGGAGTTGCACATGCAGCCTCGATGAAGTAGAATAGAATCGTGATAGGGTCGCTCAAAGATCTTAAATTAAAGATAGGCTATAAGTAATCGAAATATTTTAGATATAAGTAGCCTATCATATCTACCTCAATTCTGACATTTGTGTCTCCATAGCAAAACGATCGATTGATATCCTCATCCACCCGGGAATAGCATGGTCTATTGGTGGTTGTCACTTTCCTCATCTTGATTCTGACCCTCTCTCCACGCTGTGCCTCGAACTTGTAGATACATTTCAGGTTCCTAGTGCCTCCTCTTCCAAATAAGAAGATATTTCGTACACTACGGAAGATGGCAGGATCCTTGCGGTCCATCATGTTGCTGAGAAACTTTCGATTGCAATCGTGTTCACCACCACCCCAGGGCAAACCATCCTGATGCAGGTCAATGAACTCGTACTTCAACTTGAAGTCCAGGGGTCTATAAAAGAAAACTTATAAAAGATTTGTTTTATATTTTTCCGAGGAAAACTCACCTTAATACTGTAGATTCGGTGTTGCGCAGCTCAAGCGTGATGGCATCGCTGCTGGAAACATAGCTCTCAGAGATCGTGCAGGGTCTTGCGTAGGTCTCATTGATATTGGAACGATCACAGGTGCGGGGTATAGTGCCCCGACAGAATCTGGCAATCACACTAGTGGAATTGTGGGCATAGTGACCCAGATTATTATAGCTAGTTGTCTCGCTGGCACTACAAAAAATCATAAATTTAAATTCCCAGATTTCTCAATTTCAGATAAAACACCTACCAGTTCAAGTCCTTGCAAACAGGAGCATCTCTCAGAGTACCATCCCAGATCCGCAACATTCCACTGCAATCCTCCTTTGTCTGGAGTACTCCAATGGCCCCCACTGAAGTTTCATCTATCTGGCCAAACTCTGGATCCAAGTTGAACTTTAGTACGGAAATCCACACCTTGAACCTGGAGAGTGGTTGATGCATCCCCGACTGACTGCTCGTCCTTCGCGATAAACTGAGGTGGTCAAAGGTCTTGAAGACACCCAATCCTTGTAGGTGATACAGGCACGTAGAATTCGGTGCCAGTGAGTGCTTCGGGCTCTCGAGGATGCCACGTCCTGCTCCGCGAATCCAGAACTCGCAGGGTTTCTTGTTTTTTGAGTACGTGGGACTCTGAATGTCCACGAATTGAACTTCAACCTGTAGCGGCAAAAACAAAAAAATCAAGTAGTGTGTTGGTAAATCCCTTGGAGGTCTGCCTGTGGTAACCCACTCACCTCCAGCTGGAATCCGTAGAGCGGCAGGACCTGCGACGAAGTGCCGGTGAAGGTGCCAAAAGGCGACGTGCTGAACTCGACCAAAAGCTCCGGGCCGCTGGAAACGGCCGCCGGCACCGCCTGACCACCGCCGCAGAACTTCAATATGATGGGGTCACGTGTGGTATAGCCATCGTATACGGTCACGTAGTCCTGCGGGTAGCGAAAGGACATCGATGGGGGGAAAGAGAGAGAAAGAGAAAAGGGCGAAAAGAGAAGGAGAAAAGAGTGGGTGAGGAGAGAGCGAAATGA